TTCACAAAGAGTCTGCTTCAACAATCCCAATGCATTTGGATACACCTGTGGCGAATACTCTTTGCAAAAACAAAGAAAAAAACATAACAGAATTTATAAAACAGGCATATCTTGATTATTTTGGAGTGGTGCTTGGAGAACAGGGCTCCATATATGGTTTGCAAAAACCTGTGTAGAATGCTTACGACAGTGGGAAAACAGGCAAAGAAAAAGTTTAAACTTCGGTGTGCCTATGGTGTGGAGAGAGCTGAATGCCCACAACAACCATTATTACTGCATGGTGAAAATGAATGGTTTCAATCGATACAATTTATTATTATTATAATAAAACAGAAGCGCTAAGCCACAAGGGACCAATCGATACAAGAAAGTCAAGTGGGAATATCCTGTTTTAGTCAGCAAGGAGACCTGTGCCACACAGTGATGTTCCCATACCAGTGCTTACAAAACTGCCTGACCTTCCACTGTCCGTTGTTGAAAAAACTGCAGTGGAAGTGAATATGAAGTAAGCATTTTAGCACCCCAGCAGTTCTCCCGAGAAGAACTCAATGGTCTGATATATGACCTCAGTCTGTAAGTTAACCCTGCCTGATCAATATATTTTTCACATCTTTTTATGGTTTTCAGTGGGATACCAAATTTATCAAATACTAGAGCCAATCGAGCAAAACTGGACAGGCACTTAAAGTCGGTACCTGATCAGCCGGGCTGTGGTTTGCATGTCGGGTTGCGTGTGGCCATCAGCAATAGCCTGGTTAATCAGGCCCTGATCCACCATGAGGCCTGGTCACAGACCGGGCCATGGGGGTGTTGACCCCCAAAACCCTCTCCAGGAATACTTATGACATTCGGAGTAGCACCACAAACTTATCCTAAACTCCATGTAATATCATTGGCCAGAAAATAAGTGTTAACCAGTGATTTATCTTTCCTTCATTGTGACATACTGTATTTACGTTTTTATGCCAATTGGTAACCCTCTTCTGTACAGTCTTCTCTTCCCAGTCTACCTCAGCCTGAAGATTATTTTCCCAGTCTACCTCACCTGATTATTATTATTATTACTACTACTACTATTACTACATTCAAGGGGAGGGAGGCCCTAAACCCACTGGGGTCATACAACACCTGGGCTGCATTATTATAATCAAGGGGAGCACTAAACCTGTAGGATTATGCAGCGTCTGTGGGGGGGCGGGGATGTGGAAGGTATCCAGGCTTAATTCAGGGAACTGGAGCACAGATCCAATTCCCTAGATCAAGAGTCCCTCACCAGCATCAAGAAACCTTCCTTGAAGGGACCTGGGCTGCAATTACTTCCAATTTCTTGGACCAAGTACCTCTCACTAACATCAAACTCCCTAGAGAGGTTATCCCACTTAAAGACCATTTTCCCAGTTTATTCCTCATCTACATAATCTATATGGAACTGAGAAAAACTTAATGTAACAAACGCTCGCTGGAAAACATTAGGATACGTTTCCATGTTCACCTATCAGTAAAACAGGTACCTGGGTGTTAGTTGACTGGTGTGGATCACAGCCTGGAACAAAACTGACCTAATTTGCCTGAAATACTCTGCATAACAAGGGGCTTTCTATATAGTATGTCACTGATGTCAGCTAGGCCTGTATACCTTGTATATGTACTTGTAGGAAAAGATATTATTATTATTATAAGATGATTTTCTTGTCATGCTCCATCACACAGGATAATTTTCCTATTATAATCTATTACACAGGATGATTTTCACAAGAGGTAATGAAATCTGTCAGCCTGAGCTTGTAGACTTCAGTAGGGTGACAGTAGCATTCAATTACAGAATGATGGAATGCCCAGTGATCTTTTTGAGTTTAGAGCTTACCTTGATTGCAGTGATAATAATAATACTGAACCTATAATGATTATAGATTCAGTATTATTATTATGTATAATCAAGGTAAGCACTAAACCCAAGAGTCATACAGCACTGCTATAGGTTCAGTATTATCATTATTATAATCAAGGGGGAAGCGCTAAATCTACAGGTTCAGCAGCTACAACAGTTTTAAAGGTTTCCTTATAGCAGGTCTGGGACTAACACTGGCATGAGGAACAATTCTATGCTCATCATTATATATTCACAATAATAATAAAATTCAGCACCTAACTTAAGTCATACAGCTACATATATGTATTCACAAAAATGCTCTACATCTGTATCAATAAGTGGTGTGTTCCAAAGGGAAGGTAGCTTCAGTTCCTTGGATCAAGGTCCCCTCCCCTCCCTCCCTCCCTTGAACAAGAGAAAAAGAAAATAGTCATTGTCACACAGATCCAGAGACTAGTACAAATCCAGATACAAAGAAGGAAAATTCAAGAGAGTACAACATCCACTGTGCCTGTTTGAACCTTAATGGCCCCTCAAGGGAGGTTCCTTGATGCAATTATTATTATAATCAAAACCAAGCACTAAACCCACCAAGGGCATGCAGCGCTGCAGAGTAGGAAGTATAACGGAGGTAGAGTTTGTGAGGCATACTAGAGGAAGTAGTATGTACAACAAAGGTTGTGCAATAAAGCTGCTGCTGTCAAAAAGTCAAAGAGGGAGTCTGTGTCAAAGGTGCGGCTGTCAGCGAGGGAAGACAAAGTAAGGGTGTTAGAGCGGTGAAGACAGATAAATTCTGCATGCTCGTTGATAGACAGTTCAGTCCAATAGAATTTGGCAAACTGAACTGGAACTTGACAATTCTCATAGAATGGAACTGGGTGCCTCACCATGAGATACCCACGAGGTGGGTGCACGATGTGAAGACGGACAAGTGTAGTTTCCCAGTCATGACACTGATAAGAAGACCAGGATCTTAAACTCTGCTTGATAGAATGAAATTTGTTATGAATCAACTCAGACCAACAATGTTCCTTGATGCAAGGGGCTCTTGATCTAAGAAATTGGATCTATGCTCTCCTTCCTTGGATCAAGTCTGATTGCATCCCATTCCCCAAGGTACTGTACTGTATAACCTTTATGGATTTAGTGCTCGCCCATGAATATAATATGACAGACTGGAGACTGCAGTCAAAATGCTACAATTGAAAAGGCTCAAATTATAATTCACGGAATGTGCTAAACCCATAGAACATGCTTCATGTGGGGAATGGGACATTATTATCTTTGATCCAAGGGCATGGAAGATGCAGTTTCCTGAAGCAAGACACCCCTTTCCTCCCTTGGAGGTCTAGGCCACTGAAGTCACCCAGGATTATTATTGCATTCATAGGAAGGGGAAAGCACTAATCAGACAGAGGAAATGTAACACTCAAGTTCAGTCCAAGGAAAGGGAGCACAGATTCAATTCCTTAGATCAAGAGCCCTTCACTGGCATCAAGGAACCTCCCTTGAGGAGCCATCTAGGAGGAAAGGTCCAGCAAGCTCACAGATATTAGATCAAAAACAGACCAAGATCCAATAAAGTACAAGGAGACAGACAAAACTAGATGAATGAAAATGGCAGGTATAAAATTTAAAATAAAATTCCATAGGGTATGTACTTATTATTATAAGTACATACCCTTGATTATTATAAAGCCATTCCCCCAGGCACTGTTTGGCCTGGGGGAATGGAAGGACTTGGAGCACATGTCCAACTTCTTAGATCAAGAGCCTCTCGCAAGAATCAGGGATCAAGTACCCTCGATTATTTTTTTCCCTGGAGGCAGAAGACAACCGAGTAGTTGTGTGATGCTTAATCCAATGGTTACCAAGTGCACGTCAGTGGCCTTCTCAAGTAGGAAAGGAAAGTTCTTCAGGGGAGCAGAAAAATGGGGAGAAATCCCACCCTCTAGAAAGGTAAGAGCAGTTGTAGGCAGCCAGTGAGGTATTAATAGAGGTACAGTGGGGTAATACACTGTTGGGCAGGATGTGGCTGGGTGACACCTGAGTCTCAGAAGCAAAAAACATCACAATCTTCCTGACCAAAAGACATTACACTCATGAGGAAGTGCTAAACTCACTGGGGTCATACAGCACCTGGGGAAATGGAAGGCATTCAGGCTTGATTCAAGGAGATGAAGCAAAAGTCCAATTCCTTAGGTTAATCACAGAATTGACGAAGAAAAAAAGGCGAGTGGTGCATTGAGGTTTATGTGGAGACAAAAAACGTTATCTATGGAGGCAAAGAAGGGAATGTATGAAAGTATAGTGGTATCAACACTCTTATATGGGTGTGAAGCTTGGGTTGTAAATGCTGCAGCGAGGAGACGGTTGGAGGCAGTGGAGATGTCTTGTCTAAGGGCAATGTGTGATGTAAATATTATGCAGTAAATTTGAAGTGTGGAAATTAGGAGAAGGTGTGGAGTTAATAAAAGTATTAGTCAGAGGACTGAAGAGGGGTTGTTGAGGTGGTTTGGTCATTTAGAGAGAATGGATCAAAGTTGAATGACATGGAGAGCATATAAATCTGTAGGGGAAGGAAAGCGGGGTAGGGGTCGTCCTCGAAAAGGTCGGAGGGAGTGGGTCGGAGGGAGTGGGCAAGGGGCTTGGACTTCCAGCAAGCGTGCGTGAGCGTGTTGGATGTGAGTGAATAGAGATGACTGGTTTTTGGGACCTGATGACCTGTTGGAGTGTGAGCAGGGTAATATTTAATGAAGGGATTCAGGGAAGCTGGCTATTTTTATATAGCTGGAATTGAGTACTGGAAATGGGAAGTACAATGCCTGCACTTTAAAGGAGAGGTTTGGGATATTGGCAGTTTGGAGGGATATGTTATATATCTTTATAGTATATGCTTCTAAACTGTTGTATCTTGGTACCTCTGCAAAAACAGTGATTATGTATGAATGAGGTGAAAGTGTTGAATGATGATGAAAGTATTTTCTTTTTGGGGATTTTCTTTCTTTCTGGGTCACCCTGCCTCAGTGGGAGATGGCGGACTTGTTGAAAAAAATAAAATTATGATCTACAATATACTGTATTCAAATGACAGAAGTGGATTGTTTTAGGAAAAAATAATACAAATATAATTCATTAATAAACATCTTAAGAAAATAAATATGTATCTTTTGCATTCAAATAGATTTTTGTGTAATACAATAATAAATTTATTGTAACATATACAAGATCTATAAATATATGCAATGTAATACTGTACCAATGAAGTATTACTATTAACAACAATGAATTACTATACAGTTATACCCCGCCCTACATCATTAATGGGTTCCAAGAGCCGTGACGTAAACTGGACATGCCTTAAAATAACAACAAACACCATAAAACTAGTGTAAATAACTCACAAAAGAATATATCTATTGCTAAACCTTAAAGAACACTAAAAACACATTTTAGTCATTTTTTAGAGACTAGTGAACAATTAAAAAATTTATGACGTAGGTGATGCTGCTGAGTGACGTAAAGTTGGACGTAATGACATTCACTGAACTGAAATTTACTCTAGAGAAGTGGTGTAAAGGTGAATTTGATGTAGGTTGAAATAATGTACAGCAGGGTATGACTGTGTACAAATATAAGAAAGTCATATACTAATCATAAAAAAATGCTAAGACAAGTTATGAATATTTTAACATGAGTCATGTATGTCTCAAGTTGTATAAAACAATGAAAATGCCACGCAATTATGCATACATATACTGCATATTCATATAACTGTACAAAAATAATTATTCTGCCACAGCATAAGAATCAGATGTAAGTCTGGGCTACCACTTTACAGTATTATGGTATACAGTATATGACAGAATTATATATGAAAAACATTATAGAATGGCTGGGTACAATATCCATCAAATCTACCAAGAATTCCACTTATGTCATAATATGGCACATAACACAGTAGGAAAGAAATAGCTCATCAGTTAAAAATACATATTACTAAATTCTTGGGAAGCACTAAACCCATAAGGGTCTCAGAGTGGAGTATTGGATAAGAAAAGACCAGAAAAAGTTACCCATGCCTTCTGCTTACAAAATATTAACCGAGGTCACTAACATGTTAACACTTAAGCATAAGCTTAACATCTTGTATAATAGGTACAGTGGTACCCCAAGTTTCGTACAGCTCCCAACTCGAGCAAGTGTGTAAGTGTATTATTGTAAGTGCTTTTGTAAGTGTTTTTTGGGGGGTCTGAAATGGACTAATCTAATTTACATTACGTATTCCTTATGGGAACAAATTCGTTTGGTAACAGCACTCGAACAGCCTTCTGGAACGAATTATGGTTGAAACTCGGGGTACTACTGTATATGTACGCCTACATAAATTACATTGCAAATGACAATTACAGGTAAACTCCAGGTAAGGACTTCTCTTCAAGCAAGACAAAGTAAAGGAAATATACTTTAATGACGTCGGTTGCTTGTCAAACCAATGCACATTTAAAACAGCATATACAGTCAGACCTCAGTTTTCGTATGCCCTAGTTTTCGTACGAGTCAGTTTTCAACGACTTTTTTCATCTAAATTTTGTCCCAGTTTTTGTACATCCGCTCGCTTTTCGTACAGTTAAAAATGGTCCATACCAAACTTTTATCTCCATTGGGAAGTGGAACAGAATCTTTCCTCTGTAAGCCATGCGTGTTGTAAGAGCCGACTGATGCGCTGGGAGCAAGGGGTTAGTAACCCCTTCTCCTGTATAAATTACTAAATGTAAAAAGAATATAAACATCACAGTTTTCTTAAGACATGTCCGCTAACTCTATTTATTTGGTACTGGCCAAAGTGGCCATGTCCATGACCTGTCCATGTTCATTGTTTCTGAGCTGTAAGTCACCTGAACCGGTTTATTGTTTATGTTCACTTACGGATACACTCGTCATTCAGTTGGCAATTTTCCTTGGATTTAGAGCACTTTGTGTGAATTTACCAACATATAAACTGCAATTAACAATGGTTTCTAAAGGAAGTGGTAATGCCAAAAGAAAATGCATGGTTCTCAGAGATCTATATCGTCTCAGCCATTTATGAGTTTTCAGCCCTCTACATCTCAGCTATGTACATTATCTTCACAAATAGAGCTTTACAGCTCCTCTGACTCAGAATAAAAGTTTTTCTCAGTCACCACTATTGATCACAGCAATTTACACATCTCTCCACCACAAAATGGTAAGTAAAATTATTGTACATTATGTAGAGTATGTACTATAAAAATTACTGTACTGTACTGTACAATACTGCACTGTAATACTACAGGTTATAATACCCGTATTATTAGCGACTGGTTGTTTGCATCAGCGGACCAAGTTCTCTACTTCAGAAGACAACCAGATGATCAAGAAATATTAGTTTCATAATTCAGGAGTTGCAGACCATTGGCATTATTGTACACCTCCTCCTCCCTATTAATCTGTTAATGGGAAGTTTTACTTTACTTACATATCCTGGCTTGCAGCACACACAATGAAGAGCCTCCACAAGTGTCAATAATTACATAGGGACTCTTGTTTGTCAATATTCCATGCTCTCAGAATATTCTTGCTATAAAATGTACTTACTAATACTGCAAAGTGCCACTGACCATATCAAAGCCTTGAGTGAAAATATAACCCTGTGCAGTGTGCACTGCCTGAGGAGGAAGTGTTTGGACAGTATATTCAGCTGCAGTCACTCCTGGGATGGCTTGCACTGTCTGTACAGCCTGCACTGTTCCACCAATAGCAGTACCAACACCAGTCAAAGGAACACTCGAGCCAGATACCTATAAAATAAATTATAACCAATTATTTTTTTATATGGATGGTCAAGACTAGGAGCACCCTGTTAGTTCTACTTTTCCATTTAATAGGAGGAAAAATTTTAAATTCCCTGTCATCTGCATTGAAAATTTGTTCAGCAGCTATCTGTGACAAGTAGACAGCAACCACCCAGGGAAGTACTACCGTCCTGCCAGAAGGGCTGTTGGAAACAAAAACCTGTAAAATGTTTTGCATGATGGTAGGATTGCTGGTTTCTTTTTCTGTCTCATAAAACGCTAAGATAACAGGGATATCTTGCTACTCCTACTTACACTTTGGTCACACTTCACAGACACGCACATGCATATATATATATACATACATCTAGGTTTTTCTCCTTTTTCTAAATAGCTCTTGTTCTTTTTTATTTCTTCTATTGTCCCTGGGGGAAGTGGAAAAAAATCTTTCCTCCGAAACCCCAGGGTGTTGAGGCGCTAAAATGCGGGAGCAAGGGCTAGTAACCCTTTCCTGTAACAAAAACTAAAAAGAGAAGAAAAAAAACTTTAAAAATGGGTTGCTTTGTGGGGATGTAGGCGGATGACAAGAAACGTGATTGCTGAGTTATGAAGAAAAAAAGGTTGGGTCCCGGCCCTAAACGAAAAAAGTGAAAGGGGGTAGGGGTTCGTGGGGGGAAATAATGGGATTAAATCTGGAGTATCTGAGGAGTTAGAGCAAAGGAAGGGTAGCAGATTGTTAATGATCAGTTTATGGGAAAGGGGAAAGAGATATGAAGTGTAAATTTAAGAATTTGTGGTTAAAATAAGGTTGGAGCGAGAAATGGGTCTAATAAATGTGTATGCACTGGAGAAGGAAGGAATGCAGAGGAGAGAGAGAGTTTTGGGAGATGTTAAGTGAATGTTAGGGAGCCTTTGAACCAAAGGGGAGAGTAATTGTGGTAGGGGATTGAATGTAAAATAGGAGAATTTTAGAGGGGGTGTGGTAGGTAATTTTTTGGGGTGCCAGGTGTAAATGTAAAAGGGACCCCTTTGATTGAACTTTGTTATAGAAAGGGGTTTAGTTATAGGTAATACATATTTTAAGAAAAAGAGGTAAATAAGTATACACGATATGATGTAGGGCGAAATGACAGTAGTTGTTGGATTATGTATTGGTAGATAAAGGACTGTTGAGTAGACTTCAGGATGTACATGTTTATAGAGGGGCCACAGATATATCAGATCACTTTCTAGTTGTAGCTACACTGAGAGTAAAAGGTAGATGGGATACAAGGAGAATAGAAGCATCAGGGAAGAGAGAGGTGAAGGTTTATAAACTAAAAGAGGAGGCAGTTAGGGTAAGATATAAACAGCTATTGGAGGGATAGATGGGCTAATGAGAGATAGGCAATGGGGTCGAAGAGGTATGGGGTAGGTTTAAAAATGTAGTGTTAGAGTGTTCAGCAGAAGTTTGTGGTTACAGGAAAGTGGGTGCAGGAGGGAAGAGGAGCGATTGGTGGAATGATGATGTAAAGAGAGTAGTAAGGGAGAAAAAGTTAGCATATGAGAAGTTTTTACAAAGTAGAGTGATGCAAGGAGGGAAGAGTATATGGAGAAAAAGAGAGAAGTTAAGAGAGTGGTGAAGCAATGTAAAAAGAGAGCAAATGAGAGAGTGGGTGAGATGTTATCAACAAATTTTGTTGAAATTAAGGAAAAAGTTTTGGAGTGAGATTAACAAGTTAAGAAAGCCTAGAGAAAAAAATGGATTTGTCAGTTAAAAATAGGAGAGGAGAGTTATTTAAATGGAGAGTTAGAGGTATTGGGAAGATGGAAGGAATATTTTGAGGAATTGTTTAAATGTTGATGAAGATAGGGAAGCTGTGATTTCGTGTATAGGGCAAGGAGGAATAACATCTTGTAGGAGTGAGGAAGAGCCAGTTGTGAGTGTGGGGGAAGTTCGTGAGGCAGTAGGTAAAATGAAAGGGGGTAAGGCAGCCGGGATTGATGGGATAAAGATAGAAATGTTAAAAGCAGGTGGGGATATTTGTTTTGGAGTGGTTGGTGCAATTATTTAATAAATGTATGGAAGAGGGTAAGGTACCTAGGGATTGGCAGAGAGCATGCATAGTTCCTTTGTATAAAGGCAAAGGGGATAAAAGAGAGTGCAAAAATTATAGGGGGATAAGTCTGTTGAGTGTACCTGGTAAAGTGTATGGTAGAGTTATAATTGAAAGAATTAAGAGTAAGACGGAGAATAGGATAGCAGATGAACAAGGAGGCTTTAGGAAAGGTAGGGGGTGTGTGGACCAGGTGTTTACAGTGAAACATATAAGTGAACAGTATTTAGATAAGGCTTAAAGAGGTCTTTGTGGCATTTATGGATTGGAAAAAGGCGTTATGACAGGGTGGATAGGGGGGCAATGTGGCAGATGTTGCAAGGTGTATGGTGTAGGAGGTAGGTTACTGAAAGCAGTGAAGAGTTTTTACGAGGATAGTGAGGTCAAGTTAGAGTATGTAGGAAAGAGGGAAATTTTTTCCAGTAAAAGTAGGCCTTAGACAAGGATGTGTGATGTCACCGTGGTTGTTTAATATATTTATAGATGGGGTTGTAAGAGAAGTAAATGCGAGGGTCTTGGCAGAGGCGTGGAGTTTAAAAGATAAGAATCACACACAAAGTGGGAGTTGTCACAGCTGCTCTTTGCTGATGACACTGTGCTCTTGGGAGATTCTGAAGAGAAGTTGCAGAGATTGGTGGATGAATTTGGTAGGGTGTGCAAAAGAGAAAATTAAAGGTGAATACAGGAATGAGTAAGGTTATGAGGATAACAAAAAGATTAGGTGATGAAAGATTGAATATCAGATTGGAGGGAGAGAGTATGGAGGAGGTGAACGTATTCAGATATTTGGGAGTGGACGTGTCAGCGGATGGGTCTATGAAAGATGAGGTGAATCATAGAATTGATGAGGGAAAAAAGAGTGAGTGGTGCACTTAGGAGTCTGTGGAGACAAAGAACTTTGTCCTTGGAGGCAAAAGAGGGGAATGATATGAGAGTATAGTTTTACCAACGCTCTTATATGGGTGTGAAGCGTGGGTGATGAATGTTGCACGAGGAGAAGGCTGGAGGCAGTGGAGATGTCATGTCTGAGGGCAATGTGTGGTGTGAATATAATGCAGAGAATTCGTAGTTTGGAGTTAGGAGGAGGTGCGGGATTACCAAAAACTGTTGTCCAGAGGGCTGAGGAAGGGTTGTTGAAGTGGTTCGGACATGTAGAGAGAATGGAGCGAAACAGAATGACTTCAAGAGTGTATCAGTCTGTAGTGGAAGGAAGGTGGGGTAGGGGTCGGCTAGGAAGGGTTGGAGGGAGGGGGGTTAAAGGAGGTTTTGTGTGCGAGGGGCTTGGACTTCCAGCAGGCATGCGTGAGCGTGTTTGATAGGAGTGAATGGAGACAAATGGTTTTTAATACTTGACGTGCTGTTGGAGTGTGAGCAAAGTAACATTTATGAAGGGATTCAGGGAAACCGGCAGGCCGGACTTGAGTCCTGGAGATGGGAAGTACAGTGCCTGCACTCTGAAGGAGGGGTGTTAATGTTGCAGTTTAAAAACTGTAGTGTAAAGCACCCTTCTGGCAAGACAGTGATGGAGTGAATGATGGTGAAAGTTTTTCTTTTTCGGGCCACCCTGCCTTGGTGGGAATCGGCCGGTGTGATAATAATAAAATAAAAAAAAAAAAAAAAGACAATGATTCTAGAATAATTTTTTTTTACAAAGACAGAAAATGGAATGAGATCTAAGAAGTATGGGTGAACCACTGGAATCTACAAATTATACAATATTTTAAATTGTGAAACCAGTATACCCTAAGCACAGCTCTGTTACTGTTACTGCAGATTGACAGCATTAGATTCTGATGGGTGTGAGAAAATTGCAAACCACTGTAAAATAAGACTAAGTAAACTGAACTGGTGCCCAAACTCTACACAAATACTCAAAATCCATAGTACCAGACTTCTGAGCCACTCGACTACAAAAGGCAGTGGACAACAAATTTCAAATGAATGGTAGAGTTATTTTAAACAGAAATTCACCTCTTAAGGGCTGTGTGTTGTTAAACATATAGGTATGAATACAATGAAGAGACTAGGTTCAGAAAAGTGAGGATGTTATGGAAATAGATTAAATCGGAATGCATTGTGTAAAATTATTATTGCCAAGTTTTGGACAAGATTCTGCTCTATACTGGGCACTTGGGAAATCTGGATATTTTATGCAGCTTCAATATTTACAACCATTGACTGTGCTGTATATTTATTCCATTATATGGTGTATAAGATAGCAAATTATTGTACATTAATGGATAGCATAAAGTTGAAGCAAGATTACAGGTACGTCTTGCTACTTCTACTTACACTTAGGTCACACTACACATACATGTACACGTTTATTTATACACACTCATCTGAGTTTTCTTTGATTTTATCTTAATAGTTCTTGGTCTTATTACTTTTCCTTTTATATCCATGGGGAAGTGGAATAAGAATCTTTCCTCCGTAAGCCATGTGTGTTGTAAAAGTCAACTAAAATGCCGGGAACAATGGGCTAGTAACCCCTTTTCCTGTAAAGATTACTAAAAAGAATAAGAAGAAGAAAATTGTCAAAGTGGGAAGTCTGAATGTGCGTGGATGTTGTGTAAAAAAATAATGAAAGTATTATGCTTAAAGAAAAACTAAAGGCACCACTGACCTGCACAACATGACCAATTGGTGGAATATGTGCTTGCATACCACCCACCACAGGAATGGTCACTGCCTGTTGCCCACCCACAGTAATGTACTGAGGAGCCCCAACCAGTCCACTGCCAACCTACACCAGAATAGTGATGTTAGAAGCAAATACATAATCCACATTATAAGTAATAATGGAAATGCAGATCATTTGAAGTTACACCCTCAAAGTAAATTTTTTTATTTTAACACATCAGTCGTTTTCCACCGAGGCAGGGTATGTACTATTACAGCTCCTCTTAGTAAACCACAATCTTTACACAGTATGGTATATCCTCTTAGTTCCCCTTAAACATTTTTTACACATTTTCACATGTGCCTATTCATCATACTGTTCATAGTTCCATTCCAATAAGAGAAATTAATATCTAATCACACCTTCAAAGCCATCAATAAGTAAGAGATATTGCAAAGACACTTAACAAAAAAATTTTTTTTACAAAGGCTCACACCAAGTTAGGGCTTTATCGCTTGGGTGAATCATCATGAAATCAGGCCCACTCTCCTTATAAGTATTGTCTGAATTACCACTTGTTGGCTTGTGCTACAGTGTGCCAGGTAATAATTAAGTAGGTATTTTCAACACTTTACCTCCTCCAGAGTGGTGTTGCTCTGCGTGTGAGACAGAGCCATGCCACTTCCACATGTAACTCCTTCCTCTTCCTTCAAGCCAGATGCTGCAGTTGCTATGGCTAGTGGGTCCAAAACTTGTACCTACATTAATTACAACAATTATGAAAAATCTCATACATTTTTTGCATGCTTTTCATGTCTATTAATGCAAGTTGTAGGAGCTACTCTTTTTGTACAAGGTAAGAATCACATATTAAATAATTTGTTTACATATGAACTATGAAGTCATTATGGTATAGCCTTGGCACTGACCAATCATTAAATTAGAGAAATGTTTATATTCAGGAATAGAATGCAAAAATACTTAATACAGTGGACCCCGCCTTACGATATTAATCCATTCCTGAGAGCTCATCGTGAGCCAAAATTATTGTAAGGCGAATTAATTTTCCCCATAAGAAATAATGGAAATCAAATTAATCCATGCAAGACACCCAAAAGTCTGAAAAAAAAATTTTACCACATGAAATATTAATTCTAATACACACAAACTTAAGAAGACATGCACAATTAATACTCTACTAAGAATAGAATACATGACACTTACCTTTATTGAAGATCTAGTGATGATTGATGGGATGGGAGGAGGGGAGGGTGTGGAAGTTGTTATTGTTTAGAAGGGGAATCCCCTTCCATTAGGACATTTTCTGGGTTACTTTCCTTCTTCTTTTAATGCCACTAGGACCAGCTTGAGAGTCACTGACCTCTGTCGCACAACAAATCTGTCCCGTTCCTTTAAGATTTGCCTAAAATAGGCCACAACATTGTCATTGTAATAGTCACCAGCACAGCTTGCAATAGCTGTGTTAGGGTGCTTTTTCATCCATAAAGGTTTGCAGTTCAACCCACTTTGCACACATTTCCTTAATCTTTGAAGTAGGCACAATGGATTCCACAACTGGCATAGGTTTCTCAGGGTTAGCCCCAAACCCTTCAAAATATTCTTAATTTCCATACTAATTCTCACCCTTTTTACCAAAGGGTTGGCACTAGAAGCTTTCTTGGGGCCCATGGTGACTTATTTTGCAGTTACAAGCACAAAAAACACTGGGATAAGGTGAAATGTACCGAATGTATGTGTGGATGCGACCGCACTGGCTGGCTTGTAAACACTGGCGCTGAGGCCACACGTGGGACGCGTCCCCGACAAATCGCGTGACGCGAGTTTTTTAGCGTGAAGTGAGGCAAAAGTTTTGCACTAAAATGTATCGTATGGCGGATTTAACATAACACAATGCCATCGTAAGGTGGGGGTCCACTGTATAGACAGTCTAAAAAGGAATAATAATAATTCAAAATACTGTGGCACAAAAAATGAAAAATTCAAGCAAGCTATAACAACACTGATAAAGGTCAAAAAATGGGTCAGAAGATTATGATATTAAATAACGAGACAATTTTTTTTTTTCAACAAGTCAGCCGTCTCCCACCGAGGCAGGGTGACCCAAAAAGAAAATACTTTCATCATTCAACACTTTCACCTCACTCACACATAATCACTGTTTTTGCAGAGGTGCCCAGAATACAACAGTTTAGAGGTATATATGTATAAAAATACACAATATATCTCTCCAAACTGCCATATCTCAAACCCCTCCTTTAGAGTGCAGGCACTGTACTTCCCATTTCCAGGACTCAAGTCCGGTTACATAAAATAATGAGACAAATGTAGTAATAAAATGAGAAATGCTAAAAATATTAAAGGCATATTTAGCATACAAGTAAAATCAATACAAAATAGAAAATGTATTGACATAAAAAGCTCAAAAAAAAGTACAAGGAAAAAAAATGGCAAATTCTCTTGGTAATGAAACTGGAAAGATTTCAGTCATATGTATGTGTAAGAGATGCATTTTAGCACACATTTCTCATTTTTTTAATGTTTCACAATTTTTTAAAAAATCATTTGAAATATTCCATTAAACTACTGTTTGTAGATACTAACTAGGTACTTTTTAAAAGCCATGCATTGATTTTGGCTAATAACACAGAAAGTAAGGAAAAATAGCAAGAATTCTGCAATTCTGCACCTCAGTAGAGGTCTTGATTAATATAACAGCTATTCAAAAGTGATATAAATGTTTGTATCTTGACCTGAGTAAGTGTAGTGCTGGCAGTGCTGGTCTGGTTGGGAGCAACAACAGTCACAGCTACTTTGTCACACTGCTTATCATGTACTTTTCTGAAACACCAACAACAACTTACAATAGCTATAGAGAATACGTTTTGGCAATGAATGCAAGAATAACTAAATTGAGTTAAAGAAAACTATCATGAGAATAAATGCTGATGTTTGCTATGGTCTGTTGAAAGAACACTATGAAAGGAATAAAAAAATTTAATATTCTGAGATGAGTAAAGTAACGAATACATTATTGACATGGAAGACTTTAACCCTTTCACTGTCCAGACCCCCAATCTGAAACTTGTCAACACTGTCCAAAAGCTTTCATAAAATATTTTTATTACCTTTTCTTATGAAATGGTAAAGAATCTTTTTCTGAAGGTAATAAAACAAAAAGTACGAAATTTGATGGAAAATTGATGAAATTAAGCTTTTGTGAATTTTGCTATGTCAGCCATATATATATGCATCAGCGAGTTTGCCCACTGAGTCCTATTTTAGGCCAATTACATTGTTCCAGTAGACAAATCCTTAGCTATTTCGCAAGTACATCTTCCATTTTATTGACCAAGCACAAGAAATCTCCCAATCAACTATTTCAACTACCCAATAAGGTGATCAGAAATTGCTATTTTGGCCAATTTCACACAATTTTCAAAATATTCCAATTTCAAAATAGGGTCCAGAATAAACAATGCAGGCATTCCTAGTATGCACTAAAATAACATTAGTATGTAGTTATGTTCCTAGGTTTTACACATGAATTCCATTTTGATTTTTTTTATTCACACAAATAAGTTTTATTCACACACAAAAAAAATATAAGAGTCACTGTTACGCAATATTCTAATAATTGTATAAATTATATCAGCGCATTCATGAATGCATATTAGACCCACCAGTTGGATGTGTAATGGACGAGTGAGATTTGTTTACTCTTGAATATCAGCCAAAATCGAACATTTCTGCTACTTTGAGCTCAATTTCAAGCTATTTTCAGTCCTAAAACCAATCAAAATCATCTCTATTTCTGTAATATATCTTCCATTCTGCCAAATGAGACCAAGAAACTGAGAATACAACCATAATAATCATATGAAAATACACCACTGTTGTAACCCAGTAACACAGTCACAGTTTTTTCTTCTCATTATGCACCGAGTACTGCAGGATCTTTTTTATATGGTGCACACTTACTGCATAGACCCCTTCTTTCATATCTAGGCCCAAATTCACTGCTCACAGCTTATCTGAGTGAGCTGAGCTCATAGTTTAGTATACATATATGTATTAAGGTACAGTACGACCAGTGGCCTCAAAGCTGTAGTACTATGAGATGTGGTCAGTGAAGTGCTTAATGACAACAATGCTGCATTTTTTCCTTCCTCACCTAACATGTTGCTTTAAATCCCAGGCTCCTGCATATGTTTTTGTACAGTAAGAACAACGGTAACGTCGGTCTCCTCGATGACGACTCACATGCTCGTCTAACTTTGTCTTGCTGACAAAGCCACGAACACACAATTGGCACTGGAATGGTCTCTCACCTGTATAAGTGAAGAAAAATCTGAAGTTAGAATAACAATCAAGTTTGAAGCACATATAAAAAAAGCATATAGGAAAAACACAAAAAAGCACATGGGGAAAAATAGAAGTACAGTGGACCCTTGACCAACGGCATTAATCCGTTCCAGAAAGCTAGCTGTTAGTCGAATTTGCTGTTAGTCAAATTCATTTTCCCCATGAGAAATAATGGAAATAGAATTAATCTGTTCCAGACACCCAAAAGTATTAAACAAAATAATTTTTTTTTACATGAAATATACATTTCCCTACACAAAAACGAATGGGGCATGCAAAATAAACAATAATTAAATGCCACTTACCTTTATTGTGGAGTTGCTGATGAGTGATGAGATGGTAGGAGGGCAGATGATGCAGGTGTTCTATTGTTTGGAAGAGGAATCCCCTTCCATAAAGACTTCAAGTACTAAGTCCTTTGGTGGGGTTACCTCCCTTGGTTTTTTAATGCCACTAGGGCCAGCTTGAGTCACTGGACCCCTGTTGCACCAAAAATCTGCTCAAAGAGCTGTGTTTCTCACGTGCCCTTAGGATTTCCCTAAAATGGGACACAAGGGTGTCATTGTACATGTTGCCAATATGGCTTGCAACAGCTGTAACAGGATAAAATTCATCGATAAATGCTTGCACCTTTGTAAACATTGTACACATTTCCCTAATCCTTGACGAAGTCATCTTCCTTCATCTCTTCCTCCTGCTTTGAAGAACATTCCCGAGATGTGATCTGTTGCTGTTGCACCTGAGGCTCTTGCAGGTCCAAGACAGTACTGATGGTTGAATGGGATTTGTTGTACAGCCTTTCAAACTCGGACATACGCACTCCACTTTCGTACTTTTCAATAATCTCTTTCTTCATTTCCATCGTAATTCTCACCCTTTTAACCACAGGCTTGGCACTAGAAGCTTTCTTGGGGCCCATGGTGGCTTATTTAGCAGTTACAAGCACTAAAAACACTGGAATAATACAAAATATATTGCAGGTACATGTGGCACACTGACTCTTGGAGTGGCTAGGCCCGCTCAGGCTGAAAGCTGTTAGATGAGTTTTTCGCCGTTGGTAGAGCCATTTTTTTTTATGTCAAAGAGCACTGTTAGATGAATTTGCTGTTACTTGATGCCGCCGTTGGGCGGGGGTCCACTGTATTCATACAGGTTCATTATCAGTATTTAATTAAGTAAAACACTTTAAAACGTTACACTATAAAATTCAAGATTTATCATTGTGCTGAAAAATTATCCATGGAATAGAGCTGAAACTGAAGGAAAATACACTAAAAATTACACTGGTCTGCATTTAGAATGATTTTAATTTTTATTTTTATTCATGGTTGCAATTTTACATATTCTTGGGCTGCTGATTGTAAATATCTAAACCATTTTGCTCTATCACATATAGATTTTGAATAAAATACAAATTAATGATAAAAATATGAATTTTTAATAAATTGTTAATTTATTAAAATTAGGCAAGTAATCATGGAAAAGCACATTATGTTAGTTTTAAGAACATACGAATTCCAAATCAACATGAATCAAATCAAATGTTTTTTTTTTTTTCAACAAGTCGGCTGTCTCCCACCTAGAAAGGGTGACCCAAAAAGGAAGAAAATCCCCAAAATGAAAATACTTTCATCACCATTCAACACTTTCACCTCACTCATACATAATCACTGTTTTTGCAGAGGTGCCCAGATACAGTTTAGAAGCATATATAAAGATACAATATAAAAAATGACCTGAAATAATTACAATATCAGGGCCCCAATTATATATACACCGTCCTAATACACACCCCTCCAAACTGCCAATATCCCTAACCCCTCCTTTAAAGCCAGGACATCCAGCTTCTTCTCATTCATAACATAAACAATTGTCTCTTTCTTATCATTCGCACAACATCCATGCACATTCAAACATCCCACTTTGATGGTTTTCTTTTACTTTTTAGTAGGCTATATGTGAAAAGGGGTTACTAGCCCATTGTTCCCAGCATATTAGTTGACTTTTAAACACACACGGCTTACGGAAGAAAGATTCTTATTCCACTTCCCCATGGATATAAAAGGAAAAGCAATAAGAAAACTCAAAGAAAACTCAGAAGTGTGTGTATACAGAAATGTGTATTGTATGTGCAGTGTGACCTAAGTATAAGTAACAAGATGTACCTGAAATCTTTCACGTTTATGAGACAGAAAACAGGCACCAGCAATCCTGCCATCATGTAAAACAATTACAGGCTTTTATATTACACTCACTTGGCAGGATGGTGGTACCTCCCTGGGTGGTTGCTGTCTACCAACCTACTACATCAAAATGCTTGTCCTTCATCAATTCCCGAATCTGAGGGCCAACAACGATTCCTGCCTTTAGCTTGCCTTCACTTATACGAGGAAACTTTGACTCCAGGTACTTGAAAGCAGTTCCATCCTTGTTCAAGGCCATCACAAAATTTTTCATAAGCCCTAATTTTATGTGGAATGGTGGCAGCATAATTTTCTTGGGGTCAACTAGTGGCACAGTTTTTATGTTGTGATTTCCGGGTAAGAAGCTGGTTCTTGGTGGCCAATCTTTTTGTTCATAGTGCTGGCTGTCTGCCCTACTATCCCAAAGACACAGAACACAGGGATACTTGGTGTATCCACCTTGAAGACGTAGTAGGAGAGCAATAGCTTTTGAACTACAAATGAGAAAATTGTGGTTCTGGTACTTGATTGCAGATATTAGTGTCTTCATATCTGCCTAAGTTTCTGACATTTTGACACTATGGCCAATTGGCACAGATGCAACTGTGTTGCCATTGTAGAGAAGTACAGTCTTTAAACTTCTTTTAGAAGAATCAATGAAGAGTCTCCATTCATCTGCTTTGTATGACATCCCCATGTGTTCAATAACGCCAGAAATATTTGAGCAGAAAACTAAAGATTCCTCTTTGTCAAAGAACTGAGTGAATTCTTCTTCACGATGATGGTATCAAGAGAATTTTGTTCCAGGAGCTAGAAGACTGTGTTTCTTCAGTCTAGAGCCAAGTAACTGTGCACTTTCTTTTGGAAGTCACTGAGCTCAACTTGGTTAAAGGGTTTGGGATCATCATTTGTTGGTGGTTCATAGTCTACTTCCATCTCCTTACAATCACTGGTATCAGACTGATGAAATTTGCCATGTAACAGGTGGTAGAGGTACAGGAATATCTTCAGGCCTTATTGCTGAAGGAATACTTGGGTACACTATGCAATCTTTAGTCTTTTTGTTGAATCCAGCTACTTTAATCATACAAAAGTAGCAGTCATCATGGTGGTTCATCTGCTCCCGCCATACCATTGATGCTCCAAAGGGCATACATTTAAGTTTTCCAACTGACCACATTTGGAGCTTTCTGATGCAACTCTTGCAAGCTTTGTGTGGTGCAAATGGTTTGTCCTGGTCTCCAAGTTTGCAGCCAAAATAAGCAAAATAGCAGTGCTTCAATAAAGGAGTAATGTTGCTTCAAGAATCTGAAGGGGTAAATTGCCTGCAGACATAGCAAAATATGTCTGGTGAATTTATGCAGCCTCTAGACATATTAATAATCTGAAAATAAAGAAGAAAGATATTAGATTTAACATTTAAGTCAATATACGGTAAGCATTTTAATTGGTAATATACCACTTTCTCATTTACTTATGTTATACGAAAAGAGAAAAGTAACGTTTCCGCATAACTTGACAACCTGACGTGATACAGATGAATAAAAAACACAATGAATCACTATTTTCCATATATATACTGAAAAAGATACCCTAGAGTCAATAAAAAAAATCATGCAGACCAGTGTTACAAATTATATAACCATTTACAGTGGAACCTTGAAAATTGAACGTACCAAATATCAAAAGTTTCGAAAATAAGACCATTTTTTCGGACAAACTGTACCAAAAATCAAACGCCGTTTCAAATTTCGGACCGCCGGGTATGGGACCTGTCCGCTGGCCCGCTCTGTCCGCGTCCCCGCGCAGGCGCCGTGAGCAGTCTAGCTTTGTTTATGCTTGAATGAGCACTGACCTGCGATCTCATTCACACATTTTACGATTATTTTGTTGTGTTTAGTACTGTGAAATAAGCTGCCATGGGCCCAAAGAAACTTGCTAGCGGTACCCCTGTGTTAAAGAAAGTGAGAAACACCATAGATGTGAAGAAGGAAATAATACAGAAGTATGAGAGTGGTGCGAGACTTGTTGAGCTTGCCAGGATGTACAGAGGACTGTGGACAGTTATTTTGTGAGACAAACAGACGACTGTGGACAGTTATTTTGTGAGACAGAAACAGACGACTGTGGAAGTTATTTTTGAGCAGAACAGACGATTGTGGACAGTTATTTTGTGAGACAGACGACGTGAAGTTATTTGAGACAGAACGAACTGTGGAAGTTATTTTGTGAGACAGAAACAGACGATTGTGGACAGTTATTTTGTGAGACAGAAACAGACGACTGTGGATAGTTATTTTGTGAGACAGAAACAGAGGACTGTGGACAGTTATTTTGTGAGACTGGGATACAATGACTCTGAAGCTTATTTAGTGGCAAAACAGAGACTGAGACAGTATTGTGAGAGGCAACTCTCAAGAGGTCCTTTGGATTAATCGGAAGAACCTCATGGAGGGGGATTCTCCTTCCAAACAATAACCCCAACTCCCTCTCTCCTCCTCCCTATCTTCCAGATGCCATCACCACCAATCTTCAATAAAGGTAAGTAAAAATGTTATTTTATATTACTATACATAATTAAAGACTATAGCATTTGTGTGTATGTAAAACTGTAATTAATCTCTAAAAAATGTATTATTTTTGTGAATATTTTTGGGTTTCTGGAACGGAGTAATTGTATTTCCATTATTTCTTATGAGAAATATTGCTTCGAATTTCAGACTTTTCGAATTTAGAACTAGCTCCTGGAACGGATTAAGTTCGATTTTTGAGGTTCCACTGTATTATATTAAAACAGTAAGGAAGATACATATAATTGTGCTGAATAACCTACAAGGAGGAAACTATTCAGGAAATCCAACTTCTGAAATATAACCAAAATTTGACTAGTATACAATAAACAACCATATACCTGTGTGTATTCTCTCATGATATTTGAGTTTTTCCTTCCTTTTAAACTTCTTTTTACAAAAGGTGCATTCAAATCGTTTAAGATCATTATGGACTTCCATGTGGGCCATAAGTGAATTCTGGGTCATGAATTTATTACCACATACCTGCAAAATGTATGTCAATGTATTATGATTCGTGTACTGAAGGTTCCATTATAAAGGGCTATATATTCAGGATAAAATTAAGCAATAAATTTAATTCAATAAAATTTTCTATACTTGTTACATAAACATGTTCGATAGCATGCTGTTGTATTTACTTGCATATTTTACACCACATAATTTACCTATCTTAATTTTAAAAATCCAAACTTTAAATCAGAAATATTTTTTGCATCCCTGTCATCACATTTTCATTCTATTGGAGTGCAATCAAGACTACATTACCTTGAACACCTCTAGTATATAATGCAAGTGTCCAGAACTTTCTTTGGACATTGTATATACTTAAAATTGTACTAATTGTAATATTATTTGTTTGGTGCTACCACCCTATAACCCATGTCTAGTTTTAAGCAGTGTAAACCCAAAATACCCTGGCATATTAGTGGCTTTCTTTGTACTTAACAACACTATATAATGTAAATCACACATTGTAACCTTTGCAAAGAAATTAATTTGTTTGTTTTATACATGACAATGAAACAAGATAATTAGAACCAGAGTGAGCACTACATATGACCATATAGTAGGAATGAACAAATAACATGAAATACCTGACACAAAAATTTTTTGTCCAGTCCATGCATCCTCAGTTTATGATTTGTTAAATATATTCGACGAATAAATTTTTTGGGGCACAGTTCACACTTGAACGGACCCATGGCACTATTTGACTCGTGCCAATTTATTGCATGCTTCTGTAGAGATGTCCTTCTCTGGAATGTCTTTCCACATTCTTCACACACAAAACATTTTTCGTCTCTGTGAGGAAAGAGAAAATTTTAAAATGTGAAGGCATTTTATCCTTACATAGCCTGGGCTATTCATCATGATAGTCTTTGAAGTTACCATTTGTTTATCTTTATTTTTTTTTTATTATCACACTGGCCGATTCCCACCAAGGCAGGGTGGCCCGAAAAAGAAAAACTTTCACCATCATTCACTCCATCACTGTCTTGCCAGAAGGGTGCTTTACACTACAGTTTTTAAACTGCAACATTAACACCCCTCCTTCAGAGTGCAGGCACTGTACTTCCCATCTCCAGGACTCAAGTCCGGCCTGCCGGTTTCCCTGAACCCCTTCATAAATGTTACTTTGCTCACACTCCAACAGCATGTCAAGTATTAAAAACCATTCGTCTCCATTCACTCCTATCAAACACGCTCACGCACGCCTGCTGGAAGTCCAAGCCCCTCGCACACAAACCTCCTTTACCCCCTCCTTCCAACCTTTCCTAGGCCGACCCCTACCCTGCCTTCCTTCACTACAGACTGATACACTCTTGAAGTCATTCTGTTTCGCTCCATTCTCTCTACATGTCCGAACCACCTCAACAACCCTTCCTCAGCTCTCTGGACAACAGTTTTGGTAATCCCGCACCTCCCCCTAACTTCCAAACTACGAATTCTCTGCATAATATTCACACCACACATTGCCCTCAGACATGACATCTCCACTGCCTCCAGCCTTCTCCTCGCTGCAACATTCATCACCCATGCTTCACACCCATATAAGAGTGTTGGTAAACTATACTCTCATACTTCCCCTCTTTGCTTCCAAGGACAAAGTTCTTTGTCTCCACAGACTCCTAAGTGCACCACTCACCCTTTTCCCCTCATCAATTCTATGATTCACCTCATCCTTCATAGACCCATCCGCTGACATGTCCACTCCCAAATATCTGAATACATTCACCTCCTCCATACTCTCTCCTCCAATCTGATATCCAATTTTCATCACCTAATATTTTTGTTATCCTCATAACCTTACTCTTTCCTGTATTCACTTTTAATTTTCTTCTTTTACACACCCTACCAAATTCATCCACCAATCTCTGCAACTTCTCTTCAAAATCTCCCAAGAGCACAGTGTCATCAGCAAAGAGCAACTGTGACAACTCCCACTTTATGTGTGATTCTTTATCTTTTAACTCCACGCCTCTTGTCAAGACCCTCGCATTTACTTCTCTTACAACCCCATCTATAAATATATTAACCCTTTGACTGTCGAAGGGCCCAATCCTGAAGTTGCTCCTGGTGTCGCAAAATATTCGAAAAAAAAAAAATTATTTTTTCTTATGAAATGATAGAGAATCTTTTCCCGATTGTAAAGACACCAAAAAAACGAAATTTGATGGAAAACTGACGGAATTACGCTCTCGCAAAGTTAGCGACTTCGGCAATATTTAAAAATCGGCAATTTCGCCCACTTTGAGCCCTATTTTCGGCTAATTCCGTTATTCCAGTCAACCAAACTCATAACTATTTCTTCAGAACTCTATTTTTTCTATCGATTGAGCACAAGAAACTGCCCATTTACCGATTTCAACTACCCAATAACATGGTCAGAAATTTGCAATTTGGCCAATTTCACGAAAATTAAAAAATACGACAATTTCAAAATAAGGTCCAGAATGAACAATGCAGACATTCCTGGCTCTAAACTAAGATTTTCTTTGTTCATCAGTCATGTCTCCAGGTCCCTGTGATATTACTCTTGCTTTTTATTTTGAAATTTTATTCAAACAAAAAATAGAAGATTTACTGTTATGCAGACTACTGCAATACTGTAATAATTGTAAAAATTACATCAACCCATTCATGACTGCGTATTAGAATGGCTATTTGGACATTTATTGGACAATGACATCATTTGTTTACTTTTGAACATCGGCAAAAATCAAACATTTCCTGTACTTTGTGCTCCATTTCCAGGTTCTTTTTATAGTAAAATTAATCAAAATCACCTCCATTTCTATAATATAGTTTCCATTCTATCAAATGAGACCATGAAAACGAGTATACAACCACAAATACTATACGAAAATAGACCACAAAGTCGGCATTTTAATTAAAAAAAACGGTCGGAGTTTTTTTTTTCTCATTATGCACTGCGTGCTCCAGGATTTTTTTTATGTGGTGCACACTGACCACACAGACCCATTCTCTCACATGTGGGCCTACTAGCTTTCTCCTGCCTGATTTGAAGCCGCTAGAATTTATGAGTATATATACGTCAAACACGGTACCTCACAAACGTATATATACGGCCGCGACAGTCAAAGGGTTAAACAACCACGGTGACATCACACATCCTTGTCTAAGGCCTACTTTTACTGGGAAATAATTTCCCTCTTTCCTATGTACTCTAACTTGAGCCTCACTATCCTCGTAAAAACTCTTCACTGCTTTCAGTAACCTACCTCCTACACCATACACCTGCAACATCTGCCACATTACCCCCCTATCCACCCTGTCATACGCCTTTTCCAAATCCATAAATGCCACAAAGACCTCTTTAGCCTTATCTAAATACTGTTCACTTATATGTTTCACTGTAAACACCTGGTCCACACACCCCCTACCTTTCCTAAAGCCTCCTTGTTCATCTGCTATCCTATTCTCCATCTTACTTTTAATTCTTTCAATAATAACTCTACCATACACTTTACCAGGTATACTCAACAGACTTATCCCCTATAATTTTTGCACTCTCTTTTGTCCCCTTTGCCTTTATACAAAGGAACTATGCATGCTCTCTGCCAATCCCTAGGTACCTTACCCTCTTCCATACATTTATTAAATAATTGCACCAACCACTCCAAAACTATATCCCCACCTGCTTTTAACATTTCTATCTTTATCCCATCAATCCCGGCTGCCTTACCCCCTTTCATTTTACCTACTGCCTCACGAACTTCCCCCACACTCACAACTGGCTCTTCCTCACTCCTACAAGATGTTATTCCTCCTTGCCCTATACACGAAATCACAGCTTCCCTATCTTCATCAACATTTAACAATTCCTCAAAATATTCCCCCCATCTTCCCCAAAACCTCTAACTCTCCATTTAATAACTCTCCTCTCCTATTTTTAACTGACAAATCCATTTGTTCTCTAGGCTTCCTTAACTTGTTAATCTCACTCCAAAACTTTTTCTTATTTTCAACAAAATTTGTTGATAACATCTCACCCACTCTCTCATTTGCTCTCTTTTTACATTGCTTCACCACTCTCTTAACCTCTCTCTTTTTCTCCATATACTCTTCCCTCCTTGCATCACTTCTACTTTGTAAAAACTTCTCATATGCTAACTTTTTCTCCCTTACTACTCTCTTTACATCATCATTCCACCAATCGCTCCTCTTCCCTCCCGCACCCACTTTCCTGTAACCACAAACTTCTGCTGAACACTCTAACACTACATTTTTAAACCTACCCCATACCTCTTTGACCCCATTGCCTATGCTCTCATTAGCCCATCTATCCTCCAATAGCTGTTTATTTCTTTCCCTAACTGCCTCCTCTTTTAGTTTATAAACCTTCACCTCTCTCTTCCCTGATGCTTCTATTCTCCTTGTATTCCATCTACCTTTTACTCTCAGTGTAGCTACAACTAGAAAGTGATCTGATATATCTGTGGCCCCTCTATAAACATGTACATCCTGAAGTCTACTCAACAGTCTTTTATCTACCAATACATAATCCAACAAACTACTGTCATTTAGCCCTATATATATAATTCTGAGGCATGAATAGGCCTTTTTCTATACATTTTTTTGCTACATGAATATTTCACCTAAATTATTTATACATAGCATATCTAACTACGTAACACTCTTACAGCAAATGGCTATTTAACTACAATTTACTGTACTCACAAGCTGCTTTTTAATATTAAGAACTATGCAAAATACATTAGGAAAAAACTATAATCATACTTGTGCAACTTTTTCTTGTGGTAATTTAGTTCCTTTTGTGTACTAAAGAGTACTGCACACACATTGCATGGATAAGGCCCTGGGGAGCACCGTGGGAGGTGGTAGGTGATGCGCTTGAAGGTCCGATATTCCACACCACAAGTCTCGCACACAAACTTACGAAGTTTGTGGAGTTTGAGTACGTTGGTAATAAGAATTCTATTTGAAAGCTGAAACAAAAAATTAATATAAAAATGTTTCATAATGACAAGTATTTATATTCACAAAAATCTTAGGAATATGTTAATTAACCTTTTCACTGCCCAGACCCCTGAAATTAATGTTGCTCCCAGAATCCACTTTTTTTTTTTTCTGAAATGGTACAGAAGCTTTTTCTGAAGGTAATGACACAAAGTACAAAATTTAATGGGAAAAAATATGGAATTACACCAGCACAAAGTTAGCAGTCTGAGTATAATTTACACATTAGCGATTTCACTGAATAAATCCTATTTTAATTCAATTTTACTGCTTCGTTCAACCAAATTTCTAGTTACAGTAGATCCTCATATTGCATGGATTTATTTGGATTAAATTATGGGGGATTAAATACAAAATGGGAATTGACACAGTTGCTTTTTGCTGATGATACTGTGCTTATGGGAGATTCTAAAGAAAAATTGCAAAGATTAGTGGATGAGTGTGGGAGTGTGTGTAAAGGTAGACAGTTGAAAGTGAACACAGAAAAGAGTAAGGTGATGAGGGTATCAAATGATTTAGATAAAGAAAACTTGGATATCAAATTGGGGAGGAGGAGTATGGAAGAAGTGAATGTTTTCAGATACTTGGGAATTGACGTGTCGGCGGATGTATTTATGAAGGATGAGGTTAACCATAGAATTGAAGAGGGAAAAAAGGTGAGTGGTGCATTGAGGTATATTTTATTATCACACTGGCCGATTCCCACCAAGGCAGGGTGGCCCGAAAAAGAAAAACTTTCACCATCATTCACTCCATCACTGTCTTGCCAGAAGGGTGCTTTACACTACAGTTTTTAAACTGCAACATTAACACCCCTCCTTCAGAGTGCAGGCACTGTACTTCCCATCTCCAGGACTCAAGTCCGGCCTGCCGGTTTCCCTGAATCCCTTCATAAATGTTACTTTGCTCACACTCCAACAGCACGTCAAGTATTAAAAGCCATTTGTCTCCATTCACTCCTATCAAACACGCTCATGCATGCCTGCTGGAAGTCCAAGCCCCTCGCACACAAAACCTCCTTTACCCCCTCCCTCGAACCTTTCCTAGGCCGACCCCTACCCCGCCTTCCTTCCACTACAGACTGATACACTCTTGAAGTCATTCTGTTTCGCTCCATTCTCTCTACATGTCCGAACCACCTCAACAACCCTTCCTCAGCCCTCTGGACAACAGTTTTGGTAATCCCGCACCTCCTCCTAACTTCCAAACTACGAATTCTCTGCATTATATTCACACCACACATTGCCCTCAGACATGACATCTCCACTGCCTCCAGCCTTCTCCTCGCTGCAACATTCATCACCCACGCTTCACACCCATATAAGAGCGTTGGTAAAACTATACTCTCATACATTCCCCTCTTTGCCTCCAAGGACAAAGTTCTTTGTCTCCACAGACTCCTAAGTGCACCACTCACTCTTTTTCCCTCATCAATTCTATGATTCACCTCATCTTTCATAGACCCATCCGCTGACACGTCCACTCCCAAATATCTGAATACATTCACCTCCTCCATACTCTCTCCCTGCAATCTGATATCCAATCTTTCATCACCTAATCTCTTTGTTATCCTCATAACCTTACTCTTTCCTGTATTCACCTTTAATTTTCTTCTTTTGTACACCCTACCAAATTCATCCACCAATCTCTGCAACTTCTCTTCAGAATCTCCCAAGAGCACAGTGTCATCAGCAAAGAGCAGCTGTGACAACTCCCACTTTGTGTATGATTCTTTATCTTTTAACTCCACGCCTCTTGCCAAGACCCTCGCATTTACTTCTCTTACAACCCCATCTATAAATATATTAAACAACCATGGTGACATCACACATCCTTGTCTAAGGCCTACTTTTACTGGGAAAAAATTTCCCTCTTTCCTACATACTCTAACTTGAGCCTCACTATCCTTGTAAAAACTCTTCACTGCTTTCATTAACCTACCTCCTACACCATACACTTGCAACATCTGCCACATTGCCCCCCTATCCACCCTGTCATACGCCTTTTCCAAATCCATAAATGCCACAAAGACCTCTTTAGCCTTATCTAAATACTGTTCACTTATATGTTTCACTGTAAACACCTGGTCCACACACCCCCTACCTTTCCTAAAGCCTCCTTGTTCATCTGCTATCCTATTGAGGTATATGTGGAGACAAAAAACATTATCTATGGAGGCAAAGAAGGGAATGTATGAAAGTATAGTAGTACCAACACTCTTCTATGGGTGTGAAGCTTGGGTTGTGAATGCAGCAGCATGGAGGCAGTTAGAGGCAGTGGAGATGTCCTGTCTAAGGGCAATGTGTGGTGTAAATATTATGCAGAAAATTCGGAGTGTGGAAATTAGGAGAAGGTGTGGAGTTAATAAAAATTATTAGTCAGAAGGCTGAAGAGGGGTTATTAAGGTGGTTTGGTCATTTAGAGAGAATGGATCAAAGTAGAATGACATGGAGAGCGTATAAATCTGTATTGAAAGGAAGGTGGGGTAGGGGTCGTCCTCGAAAAGGTTGGAAGGAAGGGGTAAGGGAGGTTTTGTGGGCGAGGGGCTTGGGCTTCCAGCAGGCATGCATGAGCATGTTCAATAGGAGTGAATGGAGACGAATGGTATTTGGGACCTGACGATCTGTTGGAGTGTGAGCAGGGTAATATTTAGTGAAGGGATTCAGGGAAACCAGTTATTTTTATATAGCTGGACTTGAGCCCTGGAGATGGGAAGTACAATGCCTGCACTCTAAAGGAGGGGTTCGGGATATTAGCAGTTTGGAGGGATATGTTGTGTATCTTCATGCGTATATGCTTCTAAACTGTTGTGTTCTGAGCATCTCTGCAAAAACAATGACTATGTGTGAGTGAGGTGAAAGTGTTGAATGGTGATGAAAGTATTTTCTTTTTGGGGATTTTCTTTCTTTTTTGGGTCACCCTGCCTCGGTGGGAGACAGCCGACTTGTTAAAAAAAAAAATACACTACTGAAAAACCGCAGCATAATTTTATACAACACTTTGCAAAATTTACTTAATACGGTGCGGTGTGAGGGAAGGGAAGGGGAAAAATTTGAAGTGTTGCCCACAGGATATTTTCCTAGCTCAGGCTGCCACCTGGCTGTGGGTGAGACTACTGCCTCTGTAGGGCTGCACGGGCTTCAAGGCAGCAAAGGATCACTTCACCTTCCTCCTTTGCTATAATGCATCAGGTGATTTCAAGTGTAAGCTCATGGTTATTTACCGCTTTACGAATCCTTGTGCTTTGAAAGGTGTAGATAAAAACACCTTACCAGTAATTTGGAGGTCAAACCAGTCAGCATAGATGACAGAGGAAATATTTATTGACTGGTTTAAGCATCACTTTATTCCTGAAGTCAAGTTTTACCTGCACAGCAAGAACCTTGCATTCAAGGCTCTCTTTATTCTTGATAATTCTCACATGTAAAATTTGTATTTTTACCTCCAAATACAACATCTTTAATACAACCACTGGATCGAGGAGTTATTAAGTCACTCAAGTGTAACTACACAAGAAAGGTGATGAAAAAACTAGTTGCATCAATGGACTGACTCCAACCTGGCAGTACCAAGTTTCTGGAATAATCTATAATGTACTGCAGGGTAAAAGTAGTCAGAGATCCATTACAGAATTTATGCACACTCCAATACAACCATCGACTTTAGTACCAGAACCTCAACCGTCCACTTCTGCTGACACCCTCCCTGGGCAGTTGCTGTCTACCAACCTACTATCTACTAATATATATACTATATATGACTTTTGGATAGCCAGGAATGAATAACCACAGGATTAGTACAAAGCATTATGTAAGCCACAGACAAATTAACACTGCAAATTAGTAGAGAGCAGACTTTCAACAAGTAAAAACAACTTATATGATGAAAAATATTAAAGCAAATTTGGGCATTGATAAAAACCCTGTAATAGGTTGTAACACTATACGCCAGGACTACTACCGTCCTGCCAGTGAGTGTTAAAACTAAAGCCTGTAATTGTTTTACATGATGGTAGGATTGCTGGTGTCCTTTTTTCTGTCTCATGAACATGCAAGATTTCAGGTGCATCTTGCTACTTCTACTTACACTTAGGTCACACTACACATACATGTACAAGCATATATATACACACACACCCCTCTGAGTTTTCTTCTATTTTCTTTCTAGTTCTTATTCTTGTTTATTTCTTCATATCTCCATGGGGAAGTGGAACAGAATTCTTCCTCCGTAAGCCATGCGTGTTGTAAGAGGCGACTAAAATGCCAGGAGCAAGGGGCTAGTAACCTCTTCTCCTGTATATATTACTAAATGTAAAAGGAGAAACTTTCGTTTTTCCTTTTGGGCCACCCCGCCTCGGTGGGATACGGCCGGTGTGTTGAAAGAAGAAAGAAAACATGCAAGATTTCAGGTACGTCTTGCTACTTCTACTTACGCTTAGGTCACACTACACATACATGTACATGTACAAGCATATATATACACCCCCCTCTGAGTTTTCTGCTATTTTCTTTCTAGTTCTTGTTCTTGTTTATTTCCTCTTATCTCCATGGGGAAGTGGAACAGAATTCTTCCTCCGTAAGCCATGCATGTTGTAAGAGGCGACTAAAATGCCGGAAGCAAGGGGCTAGTAACCCCTTCTCCTGTATAAATTACTAAATTTGAAAAGAGAAACTTTTGTTTTTCTTTTTGGGCCACCCTGCCTAGGTGGGATACGGCTGGTTTGTTGGGGGAAAAAAAAAAAAAAAAAAAAAATACATGCAAGATTTCAGGTACATCTTGCTACTTCTACTTACACTTAGGTCACACTATACATGCATGTACAAGCATATATATACACACACACCCCTCTGAGTTTTCTTCTATTTTCTTTCTAGTTCTTATTCTTGTTTATTTCTTCATATCTCCATTCACGAAGGAACACATGTCTTACGAGGTAAAAGTAAGTAAGTAGTAAGAAAATTTATTCAGGTATACACAATAATTTATCATAAATTATCCATACTACAGCATATGTGTTGAGAACCTAGAACAGAGGAATACATGGGAAATTCTTTCCACTTCCCATGGAGATTTTTTTTTTTTTTTTTTTTTTTTTTTTTTTTTTTTTTTTTTTTTTTTTTTTTTCAACAAGTCGGCCGTCTCCCACCGAGCAGGGTGACCCAAAAAAGAAAGAAAATCCCCAAAAAGAAATACTTTCATCATCATTCAACACTTTCACACACTCGCACATTATCACTGTTTTTGCAGAGGTGCTCAGAATACAACAGTCTGAAGCATACACATGTATCTTTATATGTGTATGCTTCTAGACTGTTGTATTCTGAGCACCTCTGCAAAAACAGTGATAATGTGCGAGTGTGGTGAAAGTGTTGAATGATGATGAAAGTATTTTCTTTTTGGGGATTTTCTTTCTTTTTTGGGTCACCCTGCCTCGGTGGGAGACGGCCGACTTGTTGAAAAAAAAAAAAAAAAAAAAAAAAAATCTCCATGGGGAAGTGGAACAGAATTCTTCCTCTGTATTCCTCTGTTCTAGGTTCTCTACACATATGCTGCTATGTATGATAATTCTATGTAACTGTATTGTGTATACCTGAATAAATTTACTTACTTACTTACTTACTTATTCCTCTGTAAGCCATGTGTCTCGTGAAAGGCAACTAAAATGCCAGGAGCAAGGTGCTAGTAACCCCTTCTCGTACACATTACTAATGTTAAAAAGAGAAACTTTTGTTTTTCTTTTTGGGGCCACCCTGCTTCAGTGGGATACGGCCGGTTTGTTGAAAGAAGAATATAAAAATACTGGGAACTTACAGTGGATGTGGTATTATCATCATCAGTGGGAAGGCGACAGGTGTGAGTGTTGAACCTATGTATGGAAAGACATGCCAAGTTGCATGTTTTGCAGCAGTACAGAGGCAGTGTGTTATTGCTAAAGAGTTCTGGGTTCCCCACCTCTAGACCATCTTCATCTAAATGCACCTGTCACAAAAATAAATACATATGATTTTGTGGCATATTAAATTTGAGTAACAAATTTACTGTTACAATACATAAAAAGAAGGACAGAATACAAGTATTTAGTTCACGTAATATTCTGCCACTAATCATGGCAAAGATTTGAAAAGACATTCAGAACCTTCCCTAAACTTTTCATTTGCTAGATACACTACATCTACATTTAAAACCTTTTTTAACATGTAAAGGTTCAGCTATAAACAAATTGCAAAAGTTAAGATCAGGTTGTTTTTTTCTTGTTAAATGTGCACATGTATAGTCATTTTAAAACACTGTCTTCATTGTGAAGTGAATATATGGAAGACAGTACATATGCATGAATCTGAAGGTGGATATGTAAAGCAAAAGGAAATAGTATGTGTTAAACTCTACATACTTACCTATGCCTCTTAACTATAACTACTTTTCAAATTTTTTTGCATTGTAAGCCCTATCAAACCTATTCTTAAAGCTATATATGGAGTTTGCTTCCACCACCTTGTCTAAATTGTTCTGTCTCCTGACTACCCTCAGCCTATATCAGCAGTTCCTAGTATCTACGATTCATTTGCATCTAACTTCTATTCATGCCCCTTGTCTTCTGTTCCTGTTTTTCAGTCAATTCATGTTTGTCCTATCAATTCCTAACAGTATCTTGTGCATGTCTTCAATAATACCTTAACATCCTAACAGGTAATCTCTCACCCTAGAAGAGTGAGTAGGGTCAATGATAATGATGACGACAACACTTATTTACTGAACATTATAGTTCATCTAAAAGTCTCTCAACAAAGATATATGGTACTCTAAATTAAGGAAGACGATACTATATATTCAGTTTGTTTACTGCACTTTTCTCTATCAATTTACTCTGAATGAGAAACTGCACTTTACAATACAATATGAAGAATTTTCTTACCTCTTAGAGGCCAGTGTACCAAGTTCAATACATGATTCAATGAAATTGTGTATTTAATATACCCATTACTGTGAATGAAAAAAAAAATTAGTGCATCTCAACATGTCAAATTTATGCTGTTGTATTTAATCACTTGCACCCAAGACGAGCATTATCATCTCCCGAATATAATAAGCACGCATAATGATTTTTTTAACCTTTGTATAGTGTATAGAAAGATGCTTCCATTTGGAGAAAACTCTTCCACATTTTTCACATGTATGTTTTTTAGCAGGTGTCTCCAAAATCTTATTTTCACTTTCAGTCGAGTCAACAGAAACTGGTGGGTCATCTGCTTCCACTGCTCTTCTTCGTCGTTTGGAGACAGCATCTGCAATGCTGAGGAAATGAGATTTTAAAATTTAGTGCACAAAGATCAAAAGGTAATTCAGCACTCAATGCAATGAAAAATTTGATACTCTCATGGACATGGACAACACACAGTTAACAATTAACCCCTACAAGGTGAAAACCATTCCGAAACCATTTTAGTCACCTCTTAGAACACACATGGCTTACGGAAGAAGAATTCTGTTAAAACAGTGAGATATTATTAAATAATACCTGTCAATAATAAAATAACATCTCTCCAATAAAGTAATACAGTACAATAACTATTACTTTGTGAGGGATATGGCTATAGTGAAGAGCTTTAGTAAATAGTCTATGATTAAATCTTAATAAACATTTAAGTATTAGGATTAGTTTGCCCAAAATACATTAGATAACAGTGTCTTTCTTTGATGCCTCTCCCTGTTTTATTACAAGTATACTATACATTATTTATACTACATAAAGAAACAAATAGTATTGCACTGTAAATGATTTTTAGACAAAAAATATGTGAACACTGTATTATGAAGAATATAATGGGAATTTTTAGTTAAAAAAAATCTTCTCAAGCAATAATGAAGAAAAAAAAAAAGGGGGTTGGTACCTGCAGCAGCGTGAACAGGTGTGAAGACTGGCACTGTTGGATATGCTGCAATATTCTGTCTCATCAACTGGTAACTCTCCTCCACACTGATGACAAAATGATCACGTCACAGTAATATAAAATATATACAGCCTCTTCTCACTTAACGACAGAATTCCGTTCCTAAGACCACTTTGGTAAATGAATTTTTTTTTTTTTTTTTTTGACAAATCGGCTGCATCCCACCAAGGTAGGGTGACCCAAAAAGGAAAATGAATGTTTCTCTAAAATATATACATATACATTTTTTTAATACATGGGCCATTCCCCACTGAGGCAGGGTGACCCAAAAAAGAAGAAACATTTTCATCATTACTCACACCATCACTGTCTTGCCAAAGGCATGCCTACACTACATTTCGAAAGCTGCAACATATCTCCACCCCTTCTTCAGAGTGCAGGCATTATACTTCCCATCTCCAGGACTTAAGTCTGGCTAACCAGCTTCCCTGAATCCTTTCATAAATGTTACTTTGCTCACACTCCAACAACACGTCAAATCATAAAAACCATTTGCCTTCACTCGTATCTAATGAGTTCACACATGCCTGTTGGACATCCAAGCCCCTCCCATATAAACTAAATCTCCTCCTTTCAACAAACTGGTCATATCCCACCAAGGCAGGGTGGCCCAAAAGGAAAAAGGAAAGTTTCTCCTTTTAAATTTAGTAATATATACAGGAGAAGGGGTTACTAGCCCCTTGCTCCTGGCATTTTAGCCACCTCTTACGATATGCATGGCTCATGGAGGAAGAATTCTGTTCCACTTCCCCAAGGAGATAAGAGGAAATAAACAAGAACAAGCATGTTTATGAGACAGAAAAAAGACACTAGCAATCCTACCATCATGTAAAATAATTACAAGCTTCTGTTTCGCACTCGCTTGGAAGGATGCTAGTACCTCTCTGGGCAGTTGCTGTCTACCAACCTACTACCTTCACAAACTAAATGTAATATCAAATTTCTCTGTGGTGTTTATAAAATGCATTAACTTACAAAAGATGTCAGAAAAAATAACACTTGCCTTGATGCATTTTAAATGTTGTGCTTGCTCTCCATAGCTTGTATCACATAAGTGCTGGCCAACATTTAATGATGCTGTAAGAATTGTGGTTGGATCTGTAATTCCACTGATTTGCGATGACTGAGATACTGATGATGTTGAAAATGTGTTAGAGAAGGAGGAAGGTAGAACCGACTCTGTCAGTGTACTAGACGATGTTGAGGTTACAATATTAGTCGACAAGATTAATCCCGATGCATCAGCATCATCCACCAGAGCATCTAGAGGAGGGTGCTTAACAAGTGAGGGTTTAATGTCTGCAGGCACGACAAATGAGGAATTTGACATCTTTTGACTTCCCAAGCTCTCATTACCGTCCCCAGAATTTTCCAGGGACCCTTCAGAGCTTTCATTATCTGTAAAGTATTAATATATAATAGAATATTTTCTTTTTAATATGAGAAATCTACACCGTATTTGATAGTCACCAACAAAAATGCTAGAAGAAATTTACATGCAAAAGAAACAATAATATCACACTGATGAGTCTTTCTCTGACAGTAATACGGTACTTAAAACCATGGACCATCCCCTCTGCTTAAAGACTACATAACACTCGTATAATGATCTCATTCCTGGGGATGTTACTCATCATTAACAAACCAAGCAGTGAATGCAGCTGCTGCTAGTTCAACAGAAAATGTCACTGTGAATATTTTCATATCACACATCAGTATATTTTGTCTCAAAAACATTTAAAGACAAAATAAAAGTATTTGTTAATATTTCCCTAATCACTCATAATCTAATGATTCACATTCCTTGACCAAATTGAACCTAACAAATAGAAACCCATCAAACTTACAAACCAACAACAAACAAGCATGTACCACAAATAAATTCATCTGAGAAGAGTGAAAAGTAAGAAAAATAATAAATGTCATTAATGAGGTTGTAGCACCATTAACCCTTTCAGGGTCCGTGCCGTAGATCTACGGCTTTACGTTCAGGGTCCAAACCGTAGATCTACGCCATGAGCTCAGCTCACCCTGATAAGCTGCGAGTGGTAAATTTGGGCCTAGATGTGAGAGAATACATCTATGTTGTATGTGTGCACCACATAAAACAAATCCTGCAGTACACAGTGTATACTGAGAGAAAAAAACTGAGACCGTGATTTTCAATTAAAACAGCGACTTTGCAGTGTTTTTTCGTATGTTTTTTATATTTGCATTTGCGATTTCCTGGTCTCACTTGATAGAATGGAAGATATATTACAGAAATAGAGATGATTTTGATTGGTTTTACCACTGGAAATGGCTTGAAACCGAGCTCAAATAGCGGAAATGTTAAATTTTTGTCGATGTTCAAGAGTAAACAAACTACCTCACACGTCTAATACACGCCAGCTGGTGGGTCTAATATACATTCACAAATGTGATGATATTTATATTATTATTACAACATTGCATAAGAGTAAATCTTCTATTTTTTGGTTTGAATAAAAATTCATTATGTGAATAAAAATAAAAATGAAATTGATTTGTAAAGCCTCAAAACGTAACTAATGAACAGAGGAAATGTTAGTTTAGTGCCAGGAATGCCTGCATCGTTTATTCTGGACCCTATTTTGAAACTGGAATATTTTTAACTTTGTGTTAATTGGCCAAATTACAAATTTCCGATCACTTTATTTTGTAGTTGAAACAGTTGACTGGGCGATTTATTGTACTCAATGGATAGAATAGAAGTAATACTAGTGAAATAGCTGCACATTAATAGCACCTTTCAAGGCAGGTGAAATTGCTGAGCTAGAAAATGTACAGAGAACCTTCACGGCGCTCATGACGGAGATAAAACACCTCAATTACTGGGAGCGCTTGAAGTTCCTGAACCTGTATTCCCTGGAATGCAGGCAGGAGAGATCCATGATTATATACACCTGGAAAATCCTAGAGGGACTAGTACCGAACTTGCACACGAAAATCACTCACAACGAAAGCAAACGACTTGGCAGACGATGCAACATCCCCCCAATGAAAAGCAGGGGTGTCATTAGCACGTTAAGAGACAATACAATAAGTGTCAGGGGCCCGAGACTGTTCAAACCAAAAAATAGAAGATTTACCGTTATGCAATATTGTAATAATTGTATAAATATCATCACCACATTTGTGAACGTATATCAGACCCACCAGCTGGCGTGTATTAGACGTGTGAGGTCGTTTGTTTACTCTTGAACATGGGCAAAAATTTAACATTTCTGCTACTTTGAGCTCAGTTTCAAGCCATTTTCAGTGCTAAAACCAATCAAAATCATCTCTATTTCTGTAATATGTCTTCCATTCTATCAAATGAGACCAAGAAATCGCAAATACAACTATAAAAAACATACGAAAAAACACTGGAAAGTCGCAGTTTTAATCGAAAATCATAGTCTCAGTTTTTTTTCTCATTATACACTGTGTGCTGCAGGATTTGTTTTATGTGGTGCACACATACCACATAGATGTATTCTCTCATATCTAGGCCCAAATTTACCGCTCACAGCTTATCAGAGTGAGCTGAGCTCATGGTATAGATCTACGGTTTGGACCCTGAACGTAAAGCCGTAGATCTACGGCACGGACCCTGAAAGGGTTAATTGCCTATTTCTATTTCATATTGATATGTTAATTTAAGTAAATGGATAAGATGGCATATTAAAGCAAAATATAATGAAACATACAAAGGATAATCCCCTTTGTATTTTGAATATGAACTGCACCACCAGTCATCAAGAGTTGAAGATTACTTACCAGACAAAGATTCTGATGTATGAACAACTTGTGGGGTAGAACTTGGTGCCTTGTCAACATTATTCTTCAAGTTCTTAACAATATCCTGGGTTTTGAAAAACAATCTATTATTAGAGTAAAAAGAAACATTTCAATATAAGCACTGATTTGTTTGTCTAGCTTACAAACTTTTGTAAACACTGGTGTTGGAACCAGAGAGGGAGAGATGTCTCATTTTTAGTCTTCATATTTTCTATCACTGTTCACATCTCCTGTTACGTTGTTGGAAAGTATAGCTTTTGAAGACCAACAAAAGGAACTGTTTATTTACGTAAACTGTGATGTGAAAGTAAGACTACAGAGCAAGCACTGTACAGTCAAAGAAAAGAACTTTCAGTTGGGTGAAGGTTTCCCTGTTGACTTCCTCAAAAGTAATCTCTCCTTGCAGGGACTAATGCACAAAATTAAAGTAGAAAAAGGACCATTTTTTTTTCAATATTCATATTTATACATCATATTAAAAAAATTATCTCTCCAAAAATTATACTACAGTAATAACATGCACAATTCTACACAACTCTGTGATCCAAGGACAACTGCCACAGTTGGCTAGTATTTTCAAACCAGAGTTATACAGTACACAAATAACCCACACATAAGAGAGAGGAGCTTATGATGACATTTTGCTCTGACTTGGCCCAAGTTGGACTGACATGTCATCAAAAGCTTCTCTCTCCTATGTGAGAGTTATTTGTGTATTGTTCCAGTCACCTTATTGTGCCTTTTGTTCTTTTCAGAGTTATACAGAATATGGATTATGTTGCTGCCATCCATAGTGCTACCATGTCTATCTCATCACTTTTAAAAATACAGTGCATGCAATTTAGAATTTTGATTACTTGTATCCTCTTGTCCTGAGCATTTAATACTGTCTGTGCTGCATTTGCTGCAGGAACAAGAGGGATGTCTATTGTTGCATTCCTGACTATGCTGGTGTTCTGCAAAATGAACCTGGAGACTTTTGTTTGCATTTTGTAGGTGGTGGCCTCTTTCTGAATACTGTATGCTATAGTACAGAACTAGCTTCTTACTTACAAGATGATCAGAGTATCAGTGGTCTGCATTAGAAGATAATGAATCTGTATTTAATACAAAGTGGGAGTTGTCACAGTTGCTTTTTGCCAATGACATGATTCTTTTGGAAGATTCTAAGGAGCAATTGCAAAGGTTGGTAAACAAATCCGGGAGGGTGTATAAAAGAAGGAAATTCAAAGTGAACACAGGAGGAGCAAGGTGAAGAAAGTATCAAAAAAATATAGGCAATGAAATAGTGGATATCAGATAGGAGGAGTGAGGAGGAAGTAAATGTATTCAGATATTTGAAAGTGGACTTATTAGCTGATGGTTCTATGAAAGATGAGGCTAAAAAATGTGGATGAGATGGAGTAAAAAAGTGTGGTGCATCGAGGCAGCTGCAGAGACTAAGCACTTTATCCATGGAGGCAAACAGACGAATATACCAGTGATGAGGAGGCTGGAGACAATAGAGATGTCAAGTTTGAGGGCAATGTGTAGTGTATTAGATAGGAGTGAGGTTTTTTATGATTTGATGTGCTGTTGGAGTATGAGCAGGGTAACATTTATAAAGGGATTCAGTGAAACCAGTTAGTTAGACTCAGAGTCCTGGAGGTAAGAAATTCAGTACCTACACTCTGAAGAAAGGGTGGGGGATGTTGCAATTTGGAGGGTCATATAAATAGTGATGTTAGTGCACTTCTGACAAGACACTGATTCAGTGAATGACAGAGTTCTCCTCTTTTTCGGGTTACCCTACTTTGGCAAGACAGCTGTTGTGAGAAAATAAAGTAGCAAAGTACTGTACAAACAATTTTTCATTCCTTTTTTAACTTTTAATATTACTGTACTTTTACAAAGCTAACATTAATATGCACCACACACTGTGTACTGTATTCTTTTTTTAAATATTTTTTCTTCAGCTTCAGAATTTATATTTCTTAGCCATTAAGTTCTTTATAGTATATAGTATAAAAAATACAGAAATATAACAAACCTGGTTAAGAAATTTTTTTATTTAATTACCAATACACCAAAATCTATTCTAGAATATAGGGCAGAAGTGCCTGGCATTACTAACCTTAAGTTTTGCTATCATTTGCTCTACAATAAGCAGGTAGGTGGAGCTCCTACAATGTCCATCATCCTCGCGAATATGGTATGTGATACTGTGGCATTCAACTAAATCTGCCCCTTCAGCCTATAAATAAGATCATTATTTATTAGTATTAGTCTATTTTTGGGAAGCACTAAACCCACAAAGCAAGTGAAGTTCCAATTCCTTGGATCAGGAAGCCTTCACTAGCATTAAAGCAAGCAAATAAAATGAACACAACAAATGGAACACATCAGAAGGCCTGCAAATCCACAGGAGGTAGGGCCTAATTACAGTACTGTATATCAAATTTTATTGGCTCAGTTTTATATATTTTCAACATACTGGCTGACTCCCACCGACGTAGGGTTTCCCACAAAAAATTAAACACAATCACTGTCATTCACCCAATTGCTGTCTTGCTAGAAGCATGCCAATATCACAGTTCAGAACTGTAAACTCTTCATCATCATCTTTATATCTAACATATTATTATCTCTGTATGACTGCTCAAGCTTAGAAGACTTTCTAAGGGTTATTAAACCCAGAATAACAAAAAAAAAAAAAAAATCTGTAGTACAGCTTATTTCCATCATGGTCCTGAAAGTTGTACTCTAGAGTGTGCCCAGTAATGTGTAAGATGACATGAATGCATGTGTATCCTAGCCAAGGAAGCATATGTTGCAAGCTGAATGCTTGACAAGTGACCTGGCCATTCTGCAGCATGAATAAAATTACACTGCACTCTCAAAATAATGTTCCACTAGAACCATATAAATTATTACCATGAGCTTATTCTAGGCACTGGACCAAATGAAGTGTAAAACTAACATATTATAGTAAAACCACAATATAACAAAACTCCATATAAGGAATTGCAACTTGATGTTTAATACCCACATCCAGCACACGACATAGGTCTCCAAAACAGTAGACATCCTCTCACAGGATGTCTACAGCACTACTTACTATGTACTACCACTAATTTATCCGTACCTCACCTATGATATTTGTGCCAGGGGGATCGACTTTGTCAAATCACCTAAAACTAAAAATAACTCGACAAAAAGCCACTGTATGAATGATTAATCAATCCAGTGCTAGACAACACTCCCCCCACTCTTCATAAGTCTAAATTTGCTTAATATACATAGCATGCACTCATACTACTAGGCTTATTACATATACAGGACAATCAATTCCAATATAAACCCTCCTCTGATAATCTTCCTTTATAGCTGCAACAGAACTCACAGAAATAACATGACACAAAAACCTCTTTGATATCCCCGGGGTCCGACTCGACCTGTGTAAAAACTCATTGCGCATAAAAGGCCCTGAAATCACGGTGGTCAATGCCCCTGTGGCCCAGTCTGTGACCAGGCCTCATGGTGGATCAGGACCTGATCAACCAGACTGTTACTGTTGGCCTCATGCAACCCAATGTGCACACCACAGCCTGGCTGGTCAGGTACTGACTTTAGGTGCCTGTACAGTGTCTTCTTGAAGACAGCCAGGGGTCTATTGGTAATCCCCCTTATGTATGCTGAGAGGCAGTTGAACAGTCTTGGGCCCCTGACACTTACTGTGTTGTCTCTTATCGTGCTAGTGACACCCCTGCTTTTCATTGGGGGGATGTTGCATCGTCTGCAGAGTCTTTTGCTTTCATAGAGAGTGATTTTCATGTGCAAGTTTGGTACCAATCCCTCTAGGATTTTCCAAGTGTATATAATCATGCATCTCTCCTGCCTGCATTCTAGGGAGTACAGGTTGAGGAACTTCAAGTGTTCCCAGTAACTGAGGTGTTTTACTGCAGTTGTGTGTGCCATGAAGGTTCTCTATATACAGTGGACCCTCGGCATAAGATGGCATCGGTATACGTTAAATCAGCATACATTTTAACGCAAAAATTTTGCCTCGCCTCACATTAAAAAACTCGCCCCATGCGATTCATCCGAGACACATCCCACGTTTGGCCTCAGCGCCAGTGTTCACAAGCCAGCCAGTGCGGTCACATCTACGCATACATTCAGTACATTTCACATTATCCCAGTGTTTTTAGTGCTTGTAACTACAAAATAAGTCACCATGGACCCCAAGAAAGCTTCTAGTACCATCCCTGTGGTAAAAATGGTGAGAATTAGTATGGAATTGAAAAAAAGAGATTAAGGAAATGTGTGCAAAGTGGCTTGAAGTGCAAACCTTTATGGATGAAAATCACCCTCACACAGCTATTGCAAGCCGTGCTGGTGACTATTACAATGACAATGTTGTGAACCACTTTAGACAAATCATAAAGGAATGAGAGGTACAGGCCTCTATGGACAGATATGTTGTGCGATAGAAGTTCACTGACTCTCAAGCTGGTCCTAGTGGCATTAAAAGAAGAAGGGAAGTAACCCCAGAAAAGGACTTGATACCTCAAGTCCTAATGGAAGGGGATTCCCCTTCTAAACAATAAGTTCGACACTCTCCCCTCCTCCCATCCCATCAATCATCACCAGATCTTCATTAAAGGTAAGTGTCATGTATTCTACTGTTAGTAGAGTACTACTTATTGTGCATGTCTTCTTCAGTTTGTGTGCATTAAACTTAATATTTCATGTGGTAAAACTTTTTTTTTTTCATACTTTTGGGCGTGTTGCACGGATTAATTTGATTTCCATTATTTCTTATGGGGAAAATTAATTCACCTTTTAATTCACCTTATGATAATGTCGGCATATGATGAGCTCTCAAGAACGGATTAATATCGTATGCCGGGGGTCCACTATACTTTCTAGGTCAGCATTTCACCTGCCTTGAAAGGGGCTGTTAGTGTGCAGCAGTATTCCAGTCTAGATAGAATAAGTGACCTGAAGTGTCATGGGCTTAAGGTCAAGAGAAGATTTTGTTCTGATTTTTAACTCGAATGGTTAAGCACACAGGATGACCCAATACATTGTCTCGTCATGGAGTCAGTCTTTTTCCTATTGTGGTCCTTTAATCTTGTCCCCCAGGACGAGACCCACAATAGTCGACTAACATCAGGTACCTACTTACTCCTAGGTGAACAAAGACAGCAGGTAAGCTTATTTACAGGTACACACAAGTACAATTATCATACATAATGTAAATTACCTAGGTTAACCCATGGTTTCTCAGTGTGTGAGCTGAGGACACCACCAATTGAGCCACATTAGGTTATTTCAGCCTGGGTTTGGTAAGGTTAGGTTACGGTTCTTACATCTGAACGACATAGAACAATATCCAGGATAAATAACAACCTGATATTGGATACTTTTATGGTTAACTTATAACCAGACTCACATAAGTAAGTGATCTCAATAATTACCAGAGTTTCTTCTGCAAATACTTATCTTATCTTACTCACCACTTACAGTATATAATAATCATGTGCTTCATGTAAGCTGCAACCATAGTAAACAATCACACCAACACTGCAACAATGACCTCTACACACAACTTAAATAAAGCTCATTTTAGACTGAGAAAACTTGTGGCAATGTTTACAGGAGCGGGGGAAGTGGAGTTAACACCTCTATCTCATCTACACTAACAATAAACATTCTGGTTTTCCACATATACATGGCACCATATACACCAGTAACTATATACAACACCTTGTGAATAAACTCAGTGATGACAGTGAAGGTTTCATGTACTAAATGGTTCAAAGTTGCCATGTTAACAAAGAGGTTGACTTCCTCCGCCGGCCACCATGAAACGCCTCTCACTCACAAACAAAAAAAAACTTTATTACTACAAAATACAATTTACAATTGATTAAAAAAAATGACTGATATTATTGACATACTTTATGTAGAGCTCCTGGTTATAGAAACCATTTTGTACTCTTATATATTCTTACTGCTCAATTTTCTGTATACGATAGTGCAAATGAATACCATATAACAGTTATATTGCAGTAGTTTAATACAATTTCTTTAGTAATAACAGTTAGACATTTACTTTATTTTACAGCATATGGTATTAACATTTTTCGTTTTTCATTGATTTGATCAAATAAGTAGAGCATTTTGGACGAAATATTAAAATAACCCTCGCACTGTGTCTTATTAACTATGGTAGTGCTAGTAGTCAGTCTTACAGAAAAACAATAATTGCATATAATACCGTCAATAAGACGAGTAAAACACATGTACAATAGACTGGAATCTTTATTTCAGAAACGTTTCACCTACACAGTGGTCTTCTAATTTATCAATTCTGTATCCCACTGAAGAGGCCTGTCGTGATGGCGAAACGTTTCGCAAATAAAGTTACCGAACTACTGTGATAAATGGTTTAGAAAACCGATGTGTTCAGTGCATCAGTTTTCAGGCTGATAGACTGAACACATCAATTTCAGCCTGAGGGACTGATTACCTCTAACTCCTCTCTTTCCACCATTTTTCTTTGTGTTGGACTGATGAAGCCACTGGCTGGAGAAACGTTTCCTCAGTAAAGATTCCCAAATGTTGTACTGAACTACTGCACATACATCTTAATCTACCAGACCTGTAGGAATTTGTAAGTCGGGATAGTTTCTCTGTGTCAGGATTCCATAATGTGTCTGACTAAGTGTTGGTCAATACCATTTGATAATCATTAAGTGTTGGTAGAGATTAATTGTACTTAAATTACAATAGTTTCAATAATAAATATTGAAATTATATTATGGGAATATAACATTGTGAGTTGTTGTTGCTTGGGAAATTGAGCTTGAATATTTCTTACACAAGGGACATTTGCTCCTAATTAATTTTAATTATCTTGTCAATGAAATAATCAACGCTATTGGATTATCCTAAGTTGAAGCTACATAATACAGGATACATATGTATGCTAACAACAGATAATACAAGATACATATGTTAACACATTATACAGTACACATGTATATCAACATGTATTGTACTGGATAAATTTACACAGCTATCGCTCCTCAAGGGGTAAAGGATTAAATAAGTTTATTCAGGTACAGGTACACATAAATACAGTTACATAAATTATATATAGTAGCATATCTCACAGGGCTGGGCATAGGAACGCAGGATCGAATCCTGGCCAGCCGCAGTTCTGTTAATAATTCAGAATCACTTGTTTCGTGATTTCATTAATATATAGACTGCTCGTGAAGGCTGGTACACCAAACAGGATGACGTTGAAATTAGTCTCTGATAGCTGCATATATGTAGATTACCTAGGATAACCCAAATTATTATAATAAAAAAGAAGCGCTAAGCCACAAGGGCTATACAGAGGATAACCCCAAAAAAGTCAGACTTATTTCCATTATTCCTTGACCTCGAGGAGGGGCTCTTGATCCAAGAAATTGGACCTGTTGTCACCTTCCATGGCGCCCATGCGCCGTGTAGCCCCTACGGATTAAGCGTTTCTCATTATAATAATAATTTATTTTGTAGTGAGAGTCATGTCATAGATGGTAGGTTCATATACAGGGTGGGCAACACTACGGTAGAATGGAGACTGGTGAGCCTCGTGGTGATGCCAGACCCACGTCACCACCTCATGTTGGTGCCCCTGACCTCCAGGCTGGAGCATAACAATAGTTAAGGTATATCTTAAACTTTTAAATGTTTGTAAACTTCTAATTTCTTTAAGGTCAACAGCACTATTTGACTTTGAATTTTACAGTAATGTAAACTATAATAAAGAAATTTGCTCTGTTAAATACTTAGGACCATTGTTGAATTTATTATGTAAGTGAAGGGAGGTGCAAGTGTAGTTGGAACTTAGTTTGTTGTGGTCTGGGAGAGTTGGAGGAAGGTGGTACTGCAGCTAGCGTCTCTTATAATCACTCGGAGCATATTGTTACTGTTGTATACACCAACACCAGTGCACTCACTGATACACGCTACATACCATCATCCCTCACGGGTCATAAAACAAATATGGTCACCAAAGGAAAGTTAACTAAGGAAGAGGAACTTTTGCTCCAGGATTTCAGTAGAAATGTATCTAAGAAGAGCTCCATTATTTTTTACTTCAATGCCTTAATTGTGTCTGCAATTCCTATTTGTAAGTACAACATGTGACACTGATACAGTGTGCCTCTTTACATGCGGCTTTATGTATTTGTGGTACCCCGTGGCCTGGTGGCTAAAGCTCTCGCTTCACATGGTGAGGGTCCGGGTTCGATTCCCAGCAAAGGTAGAAACAGTGGGCGTGTTTCTTTACACCGGTTGTCTATGTTCCTCATGTTCCATCCCCCCATAGACGCTGTATAATCCTACGGGTTTAGTGCTTACCCCTTGATTATAATAATAATAATAATATGTTCCTCATCAGTAAAATGAGTACCTGGGTGTTAGGAGACTGGTGTGGGTCGCATCCTGGGACAAAACTGACCTAATTCGTGGGAAATGCTCTGCGGGAAATGCTCAGCTATGGTCTGTAATGTATACCTTGTACATGTACTTGTAGAAATAAAGATATCATTTTTGCAAATGTGGACCAGCAAATTTTATTTTTTAAAACTTTAATAGAACGTGGATAAAATATACAGTATTATATTTTATAAAGCATGTATTTATGCATAATACACATATTTACATAACCATATTAAAGTTGACAGTAGTTTTCACAAGTTCCGTGTCTATTTTAGTTTTCTAAGGTTAAATTAACACTTCTTACTGAATTCTATTGATCTTTCCAATGTTACTAAGTCGATCAGAAGTCTGATATTTTCCCATTGGCCATTAGCTCTCCCATATATATTTAGTAAAATTATCTGCAAGCAATAAACAACTAATTTCTTTTTTATAAAACACAGGCTGGCTCCCATCGAGGTAGGGTAAATATGATAATGGTATACAATACTCACAAGTTTATAAGTAAGACACATGTGCAACAGTTACATTACTTTTTAATTTAAATGGAACTACTTACAATGATCTGCTCACTAATCTATCAGTACCTCACCCATGGCATTTGTGCCTGGGGATCCACCACAGCAAATCACCTAAAATCAATAATAGGTCAAAAACCAGCTGTACAAACAATTACCCAATTTAGTACCAGATAACACATTCCTCATTCAAAGGTTTAAACTAATGATATACACGTACATAATATTCACTCATACTTGATAACTGCAACAGAATTTATAGGTATAACACAAGACAAAAAAATCTCTGATATCTTCCATGTCTAACTTAGTCTGTGTCAACATTCAATGCACATACAAGACCCAAAAATCTGAAATACTCTGAAGTTTCCAGCTGCTTCAATGCTACTATTAAAAAGCACATCCTTACCTTAATGTGATCTTGATGACAATATACTGTGTCAAACAAATCCTGACACCTATTTTCATCCAGTTCTGTCCCTGTTCTTTCATCTTGCATATATTATTAAGATAGGCATATACTATCTCATAATATTTTGTATTGTAATTTAAGTAACTAGTACCACTCTCTTCTGAACTTAATTTAATCTTATTGTGATTTCTGTTATTAATTAAGAGTAAATTTTTATTATAGATTATACTGAAATTTGTTAGTATCTGTGTTTGTATTTGACCAACCTATGTAATAACCTCCACAAATGTTATAGCAAATTGTCTTTCTGAAACTTCCAACAAATTATTCTTGCAAAAAATTCCAGTAGTTGTAAGTTAGGTTAGGCAAGGCAATAGCAGTCTACATGTGTTAATTTGTAGAGGGGTTACTGTAGTTTTAAATTAACCATTTGTTCACTAAAAATACAGACCAAAATAAGAAATTGATTAAGCACATATGATTAGTAAAATAATATTCCTGAATGTTGTTCTAGATAAATTGGAATTTTTCCCTTTATTTGAGGATCAGACTACCACGTACAAAAATTCAGATCAATAATATTCATTGTTTAAACACCTCCTTTGTTTCCAGACAACTTTAAGATATGTAATTGTGACATTTTGAAGCTTTCAAAGTATATAAAGTTTACGTACTTTCAGGGCTGTTCTGGCGTATACATATGATGGATCCCTTATCATCTGCGGCCATCTTTTGTCTTGTGACAGGCATTGCAACTTACCTTGTTGCTTTTGCTTACATGAACACCAAGTTTGTTTTGAAGCACAAGGTAGGAATTTAAATTATCACATTGCATATAGTATATTGAAAGGCAATTAACTTCCATGTTTACATACTTATATACTTCATATTTGTGTTTTACAGAAGGCTATTTTATAAATTTTTCAGGTGGCACAAAAGGTTGAAGATGCTGTAACACGTGAAGTAATGCATAAACTATCAGATGACAAGAAGATGGGGAAAAAAGAAAAGGACGAGAGGTAAGAGTGTAATTATACCATTTGGAGTACAGGTTCGCCATCACAAATCTGGCAATCAGACATCCGGTTCCATCAGTTATTATGCACTAATTTCGGCTAGCATAATTTAAAATTTCCAGGCTCGCCACACCAACCTGCTGGTATTGTTTGGTGGCACTACTTGTTGCATAAGTCATTCCAGTTTCTTTTTCTCCATTTGTTATAACCTGCTTACGTTTAGCCCAAGCCATGGTTCCAACAAATAAAAGAAATGCTTCTCATTGTGTAAAGCACCTACACAGTACATTGTCCATTAAAGGTAAAGTGGCTTTGAAGCCACTGTCAGTTGCTATGAGCTCAGTTTCATGATGCAGGGGAATATTCTTTATTATTATGCTAATATCAACACTTAAGGCTTATTTGCCTATCACAATTGATCTGGTATGACATAATAAACAATATAAATAACATAAAAATGTGTTAAATTCTCCAGAATGAATAATATATGGCATAATACCGAGCAGTTCGACGGAGGTATGAAGAGGACATGGGATACAATTACCATTCTCCTATCCCTGTCTTGGGGGCTTATATTAAAGAAAACAGAATATAGCACATGGCTAACTGTGATATACACTTGTACTGCACCATAAAACTGAAACAAAAAAGCTATTTTCTCTACGTAGATTATCACACACGGCAGCACGTGTAGAGAACCTAGGATAACCCAAAACAGTCATTGTGGCTTATTTCTAGTACTTGGCTTGGGTTAGCCATATATGATTTTTGTAAATATTCGATTCCCAGCCAGGGTAGAAACATTGGGCGTGTTTCTTTTACACCTGTTTATGTTCACCCATCAGTAAATGGGTACCTGAGTGTTAGTGGACTGGTATGGGTCTTATCTTGGGACACTGACCTAATTTGCCTGAAATGCTTAGCATAACAAGAGGCTTTCTATATAGCAGTATGTCACTGATGTCAGCTAGGCCTGTATACCATGTACATGTAGTAAATAAAGATACATGTATTATTATTATTATTTTTTTTTTTTCAACAAACCGGCCATATCCCACCAAAGCAGGGTGGCCCAAAAAAAAAAAAAGTTTCTCTTTTTAAATTTAGTAATTTATACAGAAGGGGTTACTAGCCCCTTGATTATTATTATTATTATAATAATTATTTTTTTCTCTCAGTTGTTTGTTGGACTATCTTATTGAAACTTGGGCAATATATGATGGAAAGATGCTTCTTAACATACACCAAAAATGAAAGAAATCAGGCCATAAATAACGGAGTTCACTTCTCAGCCATTAGCGGCCCCATAGCGGTATATTTTTGTATGGTTTTTATGGTTGTATTTTCGTTTTTTTGGTCTCATTTGATAGGATGGAAGATATATTACAGAAGTAGATATGATTTTAAGAACATAAGAACGAAGGAACACTGCAGAAGGCCTACTGGCCCATGCAAGGCAGGTCCAAGTCTCCTACCGGCTTAAGCCAATGCACCCAACCTAGTCAGGTCAGGTCACATTGACTTAAGGGAGGAACACGGCAACCGACCTGGTAGCACAAGCTATCAGGTCTAACTCACACCCACCCACATCTACTCATGTATTTATCCAACCTATTTTTAAAGCTACACAACGTTCTGGCCTCTATAACGGTATTTGGGAGTTTGTTCCACTCATCCACAACTCTATTACCAAACCAGTACTTTCCTATATCCTTCCTGAATCTGAATTTTTCCAACTTAAAACCATTGCTGCGAGTCCTGTCTAGGCTAGATATTTTCAGCACACTATTTACATCCCCTTTATTTATTCCTGTCTTCCATTTATACACCTCAATCATATCCCCCCTAATTCTACGTCTTTCTAGAGAGTGCAGTTTCAGGGCCCTTAGTCTATCCTCATAGGGAAGGTTTCTGATACATGGGATCAACTTTGTCATCCTCCTTTGTACATTTTCCAGAGAATTTATATCCATTCTGTAATACGGTGACCAAAACTGTGCAGCATAATCTAAATGAGGCCTAACCAAGGATGTATAGAGTTGAAGAACAACCTGAGGACTCCTATTATTTATGCTTCTTGATATGAAGCCAAGGATTCTATTAGCTTTATTGCGAACACTTATGCACTGTTGTCTTGGTTTCAGATTACTGCTAACCAGAACTCCTAAATCTTTTTCGCAGTCCGTAATATTAAGATCTACATTATTTAGTTTATATGTGGCATGGTTATTGTCCTGTCCAACATTTAGAACTTTGCATTTGTCTATATTAAACTGCATCTGCCACTTCTCCGACCACTGCATCAGTCTATTCAAATCTTCCTGGAGTGCTCGAATGTCCTCGTCAGAATGAATTCGACGGCCTATTTTGGTGTCATCGGCAAACTTGCCGATGTCGCTCTTTATGCCCTCATCTATGTCGTTTATGTAGATTGTGAACAGCAGGGGGCCCAACACTGACCCCTGTGGAACACCGCTCGTGACGCTTCCCCACTCTGATTTCTCCCCATTTATGCAAACTCTCTGCTGCCTATTTGTCAACCATGCCTCTATCCAGGAAAAAATTTCTCCTCCTATTCCATGTGCTTTAATTTTCCTCAATAGTCTCTGATGTGGGACCCTGTCAAAAGCCTTACTGAAGTCCATATACAGGAAGGCCCCACTTATACGGCGGGTTAGGTTCCAGGCTACCGCCGTAAAGCGGAAATCGCCGTAAAGTGGAACACACCCTTTTTTTCCACTTATAAATGCATACAAACACTAGATAACAAGTTTACACTAACATATATTAAGTTAGCAATAGAACCAGGCATCAAAAAACAATAAAAAGGTACAATACACACATAGTGCACTCATTACTTACCTTAAAATATTTATAGTCTTAATCTAGGGTGAGACAAGTAGTATTTATTGTAAGAAATCAAGTGTGGTATGTATTGTAATAGGCAGGCTATTTCACCAGGCCACCCCACCCACACATACTATTCTATGATATTTAAGCATCCCAGAGCGATAAAATGTATATACAGTTCACTCATTACTTACCTTAAAATATTTGTAGTCTTAATGTAGGGTCAGGAGTAAGTAAATGAGATAAAACGAATAAATGAGAGAGAGAAAGAATGAGTACATGAGAGGTGACAGGCCAGGCACAGAGTAAACAAACCAGGCTCCCACATCTTATATTTATGTTTTATTTATTCTATTGTGGGGTGTATTTATCATCTTTTTTATGTTATGTATCGTGTTTATTATATAATTTTGAAAAAAAATATCATGGCTGGATTAATGAAAATGTGTATATTACCGTAATATACGACATTTAATGAGACTCCGTGACTATTGTTATTATCACCACTTGTGGAAGTCGTCTGCTACCACAGATCACATTATGTTTATTTATTCTACTGTGGGGTGTATTTATCTTATTTATATGTTATGCATCGTGTTTATTATATAATTTTGAAAAAAATATCATGGATGGATTAATGAAAATGTGTATATTACCGTAATATACGACATTTAATGAGACTCCGTGACTATTGTTATTATGGCGTCACTTGTGGAAGTCGTCTGCTACCACAGATCACATTTATGTTTATTTATTCTACTGTGGGGTGTATTTATCTTATTTATATGTTATGTATCGTGTTTATTATATAATTTTGAAAAAAATATCATGGCGGATTAATGAAAATGTGTATATTACCGTAATATACGACATTTAATGAGACTCAGTATTGTTATTATCACCACTTGTGGAAGTCGTCTGCTACACAGCTCACATTTATGTTTATTTATTCTACTGTGGGGTGTATTTATCTTATTTATATGTTATGTATCGTGTTTATTATATAATTTTGAAAAAAATATCATGGATGGATTAATGAAAATGTGTATATTACCGTAATATAAAGACATTTAATGAGACTCAGTATTGTTATTATCACCACTTGTGGAAGTCGTCTGCTACACAGCTCACATTTATGTTTATTTATTCTACTGTGGGGTGTATTTATCTTATTTATATGTTATGCATCGTGTTTATTATATAATTTTGAAAAAAATATCATGGATGGATTAATGAAAATGTGTATATTAACGTAATATACGACATTTAAATGACTTGATGTATGTAAGTTTATTAGGTACAGGTATACATAAGTAATAATTATCAGAGTATATATAAAATATGAAATAACTTTTAAAAACATTTGAAATTTTGGAGTTTCCAGACAAAATGGAGAGACTTAGTGCTTACTGAGCTCATGGAGAATGTAAACAAACAGGGTGGGGCACGGTGACCGTATTAGAAAGTCGGGTGGGGGGAGCCGTATAGTGAGTTTTGGTCATAATTTGAAATGTCCGTATTAGCGGAACGCCGTAAAGCGAACGCGTAAAGCGGGGCCCTCCTGTACACAAAAATCATTTCATTACCATGATCTACCTCCTCAAATACCTTAGTGAAAAAAGTTAATAAATTCGTAAGGCAGGAACGCCCCTTTGTAAAACCATGCGAGATTCGTTGATTAATTTATGCTTTTCAAGGTGGCTACGAACTGCCTCGGCCCAAAAAATTGATTTCCCTAAATTTTTTCCCCCTATGGAGGTTTGGCTTATTGGTCTATAGTTCGAAGCTAAGGACCTGTCACCTGTTTTGAAAATAGGTATCACATTTGCCATTTTCCACTTATCTGCACCATGCCAGTTTGTAGTGATATGTTGAAAAGATTAGCCAAAGGTGTGCTAAGCTCCTCTTTACATTCCTTTAGAACCCTTGCATACAGTTTATCAGGGCCTGGGGATTTGTTAGGTTTTAATTTATCTATTTGCCTAAGGACCATTCCACTTGTGACCCTAATAGTGCACAGTTTATTATCGTCCTGTTCTACATAATTTATCATTACTGGAATATCGCTGGTATCCTCCTGTGTAAAAACTGAGAGGAAGTATGTGTTAAAAATTCTACACATTTCCTTATCACTGTCAGTGAGCTGACCCGAG